TCGAGTAATCGATCGACAAAAAATCTAATGTAACTAATCGATTGATTTGTTTTCTAGTAATGAACACCTAGGTATCATATTATACATATGTATTTCGCTTCCGAGGATCGATTATGAAATTATCGGTCGACCTTGGCTTCATAACATATTTGAAAATGCATAATAAATCGATAGAATGTAAAAAAAGGAAAAAAGGAAAAAAGCAAAAAGAAAAAAAATAGAGAGAAAGAAGAAAGAAGTATTGAAAAAATGGCAAGAGAACGAAACGTTCAGCGTCGTTGCGCGATGCAATCTAATTGTACGCGTGGCCAGTTCTCGTTGTGCATTGCCTATCCCCCCACTCAGGACTGCAGCCGATGCAATACAACACAACGCAACTCAACGTAATGCAACGGCTACAATAACAACTACAACTATATGCAACGATGACGATGATGACGACGACGAAGACGACGACGAAGACGACGACGAAGACGAAAACGATGTGATGTGATGTTACTGCTGCTGTGCTGTTGCTGTTACTACTACTATTTGATGACTAGTAATAGGTGGGGAGTTTGACCGGTTGAGGGGAAAAGAGGTTTTACGTGCGAGGGTGTAGCGTTGGCTGTGGTGGGAGTAGTTCTCCGACGTAGGATGGATTGATAGAGAAAAGTGGTGGAGGAGAAGGAGGTAGAGCGCATAAACCGGGCATAAACTTTTCCCCACCATGGAACGTGGTCCTCCTTCCTTGGAGCCCTCTCGTCATACTACGTTACGTTGTTCACATATTTACACAACACACTCCAAGTTAAAAGACACACGAGTATAGAGGAATAGAAACGACTAAAGCCAGAAGAGGCAGGGTCCCCTCATTTTACGCGGTGAGGAGAGAAATACATCCATACATATTTAGGTGTGCTGTGTGTGTGTGTGTGTGTGTGTGTGTGTGTGTGTGTGTGTGTTATGTATGTAAGGTAGTGGTAACAGAGTGCGCGCGTAACCCAACGCGCCGCCGAGCGTCAGCCTTCTCGAATCGAACTCGAAGCCAGACGACGACATTGAGAGAGCCAAGTCGGCGGTCTCACGCAGCGCGCATTCAGTTTGCAGCCTGGTAGCGAAGCGATTGGACGTTAGTTCGATTCACTAAGCGAACTATACGCATATTTTCTCTCTTACCGAAAGGAATTCTCATTGTAGTCGTATTACCATCTACACTCATTCAGGTAGAAAGGACAATCGACTCAACGAGTATCTAAAGCAGAGTTCAAGTTCACGTTTGAAGAAAGACAAGAAGATTTGGATCGTGTATCGTGATTATTCCATTTTTAATATCGATATTGTCATTATCGAGAATCATAAGGGACAACTAAGATATTAAGTGAACAAAAGGATTAATACATATCTATCGACATTTCATTATTAAGTGGTGAAATTAATTATATTTTCCTGACAAACGGATCGAACGTTAGATTTTTTGTGGTGCCAAATCGAAGGATTTTAAAGATTCTTTGCTAACGTTATGTCAGTGACTCAGACTACGATTATCCACATTACGGAGTATATCGTTGTTACGTGAACTTTTTTATTAAAAACGTGCATCGTCGTCACGATTGTAAAGCCTTTTCAATCGTAATCAAGGACCCCTTATCTGGGAAAACAAATCTTCAAAAGACTATTTCTTGTTATTGTTTTATACATATTTTTGTTTTTGATTTTTTTCGATCCTTCAAATCCAACACAACGTTTGCAACATAGAGGCAAAGTGCATCGACCGTTAAACGTGCGATCGTATCCGAAAGAATCTTTCAAAATTGGTGAGTAAACAAGTATCTTCTATAGTTATTTTCTTATTTTCACTTATTCGAGCATTTAATCGTTCTATTTTAAAAGCAATACGATGAACTCTGAAACGTGATAAACAACGCAACGATGAAGGAGATCGCGTAGGTCGATCGATGCGACGAATGACGTTTGTTCTTTCCACCCCGTTCCATTTAAAAATCCGTTTTCTTCGATATCGAAAAAACACGTCTGCGGTTAGTAACGTAGTTTAAGATATCGCGCCTTTTTGCACGTGTCCCTGACATATCGGTATAGTGCGTGTATCCATGCGTTTTTCATTGTTTCTTTACGTGTCGGCGGCGTTGTGTGTAACGTAAAGAAGAACGAACATACAACAAGTAACTCAAAAAAACAATCCAATTTTCATGATGACATTTTTGCATATAAAGAATCAATAATCCGATTCATCTTTTTTTCCGAAGATTCCAAATAAGATTATATCGAAATTAATCGTTATTTTCACCTAATTCATTTCTTGCAACTACGCTGTAAAAGACGGACATGTCATATTATTCGTCGAGACCTTCGAAATGTAATGTGAATGACGCAACGTTCGCTCCAATTCGTTGTCACAATAAACCATGCATGTCCATTGTACCCCTCTTTCATACTCTTCGTCGTCGATTCATCAGTCCGATGCATATCTTATCTTTTTATTCGTCCCCTATCTTTGATGACTGTACACTTTCCAAATAAAAATTCTGCTACCAAGTCGAAATCTTATATTATTAGTACTCGATATCATCGCAGACCACATTTTCGAATATTTTTCTTTATTACTGTCCCTTTGTCTGTCTTTTTTACCTTCCCTTGCGCGAAGAGAAAAGTCAACAATAATCATATGTTTATAATAAAATATTACAAAATGAAATAAATAGATAGTATAATAATATAAATAGTGCAATGTTTCCGGTTCGTTTGGTCTGTATTCAAAGTTGAATCCTTACGATTACTTCGGCGCGTTTCTTGAAACGCGTGCATTCGCCTTAAGGAGGAGTCTCGTGCAACGGTCCACTCGTTGCGTCATATTCTCGACGGTTCAACGAGGATGCACGTTCATCGTCTCTTTAAATAGTTCCCAACGGTAAGAACACTCCTCGAGATATACCGGGTGAATCATTTTATTATTCGAGTACAAATTTCGGAAACTATTGTAAGTATAATCCTCCTTCGATTATTAACAGTAGACAAAGAAAAATCATATATCTGGATAATTTTGATTCATCTATTATAATATATATATGTATATATAGATTGAAACAGTAAGCAAGTTCCGTCTCTCCTATTTCTATTTTTTTAGTCGCACTCTTTGTTTGTTTCTCTTCTTCTCTGATTGTGAGAGTTAATTGTAAGCAGCTCGGCGGCCGAACGGCTCTATTGCAGCAGCAGCAGCAGTAGCAGCAGCAGCACGTTCACAAAGTGGGCCACGGCCTAATTTGCAGAACTCTCTCAACCTCGACGAAGCGTAAACCGAGCGAACGCGATAAAACTCATGGACTCTCTTTGAGCGAAGGGCACGCACGCGTGTCAAGAGCGAATATGTCCTATCTATCGTTCAAAAAGAGAACAAGAGAAAAAGAGAAAAAGATAAAGAGAGAACAAAAATCATTTCATACGTTTTTATTTACCTTCCATATGAGGGCCAGCAGATATTGATATTCAATCTTGTCAGATTTCTTGTCTATTATTTGTACATAAATATATAGGGTGGTAAAAAATAAAAGTTAGCATGAATCTTATAAATCAACCCTTATTTTGGATCCATGTGTACATTTTCAAAATTACAACGTACACATTTATTAGCCTGTAAACATTTACTCAATGATCTTGCATTAGATAACAATCAATACTTTCACTACTCTCTCAATCACACTCAATCACACCCACACACATGGGCAGTCAATAATTTAATCTATTAATCGGAAAAAAGAAATTAACTCATCACGCATAGCTCGTAACTTATCACGTGATGAAGGAGTGAGTAAGTCATGAAATTCTTTCTTATATTCTAAGAAGACATTATGCTTTTAGATTGTTATTCTTTTATTTTTGTATAAAACTCCTTATCCACACGTTCGTTATTTGTAATCAAAATATAACGACTTATATCAAATATCTTTGAAATTTTAATCAATTCTTAAAAACTGAATTATTAAATTAGTCACCCGATATATGAAACAAACTATATTCTATCTACCATCTTATAGATTCTCTTTAGTCTGACAATGAGATATCATGGATTATACGTTGCGTCATCATCTGTCCGTTCATCGATCATACAAACACACATATATATATATGTCATACTTCAGGGAAAAAGAAAAAACAAAGCGCGCTGAAAAAAATCCTTATCTTGAATCTATAAACAGCCTGTTCGATGACGCTCGATTAACCTGTGCGTTCTCCTTTACACCTTTCGATTCATTATCCCCCGTTATGTAACCCCGTTTCGTGGTCTCAAACTTTGAGAGTGGGCCATTATCGAGATCGATAGTTCACGTTTTACGAGGATCAATGGGAATTATCACATTTCTTCTTTTTTTCTGATGTTCTTATATTATAAGACCAATTTTCAATATAAATATGTATTTAGATTAATTTCGATCGAACGAACGCTCACATGTATGTCTTCTTATTTTATAATAATTATTTAAATTTGAGATATTTGAAAACTATGTTTCATTATTAAAGCGACTCTTTTTATCTCTTTTTGTTTCGCTATTAGAATTATTATAATCACAAAAAAAAAAAAACAAGATGAAAATAAAAAGATTCCGATTTTCCTCGTATCGTTTAAATATTTTTCCCGCGAGTTATAAATCATTTCTTTCGTTTTTCCCAGATCGATCATTTTTGTATTCACGTGTTATTGCATAATTAATTCCACAGGCATATTATAGGAAACTAATAATAATAATAATTGAAACGAAAAATTATACAAGGTGTTAATAAACTATTTTACATTCCTATATGTAATATAGAAGAGTATGGATGACGATCGCGTAGCCGCATTTTATTGATCGTATTAGCAAATATCATGGCACTCCGTTGTTCGCGATGACCTTTTCACGTTGCTCGTGTTATGCAACGAAGGTGAATGGTCGAGCATAACAGCTTGCACGTGTCGAGCGGAGTCACGTGGCGAGTGGAGTAGCAGTCGCATCAGCCATAACACTTACACACATACATACATAGTCGCATAGAGATGCAAAAGGAGAGTGGAGAGTGCACGAATTGCGCGATCGAAGTAGTATGCTGTTTTGCACCAGACTTGCATCATGGTTAGATCACACAGTGTTGTTTGTTGTTATTGTCGCGTTGCGATTGTTGTATGCTGGTTTTATCTTTTTAAATAATCTCTTTTCATGCCTCCGAGTGAAAATGATGAAAAATCCAATAATATTTTAACGTATTATATCATTTATTATACATATGTATTCTTGTGAGTGCATAATATGTTATGTATATAATATTTGTGCATCAAGTGTTTCTCTCTCTCTCTCTCTCTCTCTCTCTCTCTCTCTCTCTCTCTCTCTAGTTCTCTCTTTCTATCCTTCTTTCTTTCTTTCTGCTGCTTCTGTATATGTGTGTGTGTGTGTGTGTGTGTGTATATACTCTGATGAGAGTATGCGAAGAGAACCTTGACTGTCCCTGAAGTCTTTCTCACGTGCGCATCTTATGTAACGAAGAGCGTGAACGCTTTCGCGCATCGCTTTTCACGTTATCTCGTCTCACGTGTCCGTTACTAGCCATATACGCAGGTGAATTGTGTCACGTGTTACAAATTAATCGAAATCGCGACAACGGTCCACATCTCCTAATATCACTTTTTAAATAAGTATATGCAGTACCGAATTCAACGTAATTTCATTTTATATAACTTGAATAAAAAAAGAAACGGAAGATAATATTATTCTTGAATTTGTTCGTATTTATTTTGTATTACTCTTCTTACAATAATATTATTCGGTTTTTTTTCCAAATCATTGCAATCTTCTCGTATGCCACGTGACATAGAATTATGTAACGTCAAAGCACGCGTTAGATATACACATTGAAAAATTCTGCACGCGCTGCTTTTTCTTAACTCTCTTTATCTCTCTTTCTCTCTCTCGTACGCATTTGCAGAAACTAGAATCCGGGCCGCGTTTATCCGGGTTCGTCTCTCCTTTTTCCTTATCATTTTGTTACGGATGCGCGACCGTTACGCGTCCCATTACCCTAAAATACTAACAGAGTATACGTACACGTACGTAAGTATGTAATATATGTATGTATTTTTCGCTGAATAATTTTCTTTCACCGAATAATCGTTCATTCTTTTACTATCAACTCAATTTACATGTTTTCAACTTTATCGATCTATAAAAATTGTATAATAGATTCGATGCTTATTTCTTATTTTATTAAAGTTGGTCAAAATAATATTTATAGAAATGTTTTCTTCTTTATCGTTAGATTCAAGTACGTCGAACTTGGACGTACGATTTATGTAATTGTACATAGATACTTATACAACGTGTATAGGTAATATATACATATATATATATATATAAACACATGTATATACGTATACATGTACGTATGCGAAGAAGGTATGTGCACAATGCCGCCGCGGGTTGCTCGATGGTCGTGGTACGTTACGATTGCGGTCAGTGTTCACGTAACAACACAGCAAGAGCATTGATACCGTTATCGGATCGGCACAGCGCAGGCGTTTCAAACCGGTCTCCAATTTCGTTTCCCGCTCATTATGCAATCGGTACGCGATAGCGTGTTGAATATCCGACAACAAAAAATATTTCAAAAGACAACAAATTATTTCAATAAAATGATCTTTCCTTAAAAGTACTACCTAAAAGGTATAAATAAAAATGAAACACGTTGAATTGAACGAAAAATCATAGATTCGATGATTAATTGTGTGTTTTTGTTATTGTGTTGTTATAAAACGATAAACAGAACTCTCGCATATATAAATTCACGTATTATAAACGACATTTCTTCGATGCGCAGAAAATGATGTAAAGATTTGTGACGAACGTCACAAAGATATTATAACGTGTTTCTCGTTTATCCATTATTACGTTGAAATCCTTTCCATGAAAATCTCATAATAAAAGAGATAAATAAACAGGCCTACGTGTTGAATGGCAGTAGCACGATACTTTCTGCAAAAAGAGACAAAGATTCGTAACGATTATAAACGTACGTTCGAAGAAATGATACGGTAACTATCGAGATCCGTTGAAAGAGTGACTCACTGGTGTGACGAATAGAAGGTCGATCACGTTTTATTCATTGAAATCTTAAAAAAAAAAAACGACTAGAAGGATAATGGTATTTAATCCAAATTCAACGTTAATACAAAATCATTTTTTATTTGATCATTTTACATTTGATCTTTTTTTTTTTTTTTTTTTTTTTTNTTTTTTTTTTTTTTTTTTTTTGTATAATATTTATTTTGTCTTATCAAAGAATTCTTAAAACGTGATTAACGATATAAAAACAATCTAGCGTCATTTGAAAGAAGAAAACAAGACGAAAATATGAAAATATAATAGAATATATATATTCCATGATGTATAATATTGATATTAAAGACAATTGGGTAGGATATGAGAAGAGAAGGGTGAAGCGTGTGCGGATTGCCACGTGCTTCTACTCGGCTGAACATTACGCAATCGTGAAATGGAGCACGTGCGCGGAACAACAAGACTCGTGTCGTTCTCTCAACTTCCTTCGAGGAATGACAATTCGGATTGGTGATAACCGATAACGAACGTATTTCTTTTTCAATTTATTTACGAACCAGTACTCCAGTTATCACGAATGATAACCACAATTCTTATTAGGAGAGTAATAACTTCCGCTTCAGTTGATTTAGGGTACAAAAGAAGAAATTAAAATTAAATTAATAATTGTACAATTATTCAATAATATTTGTTCTTTTTTAATTAGCACAATTTAATATTCTTACGTTTTATCCGTTTATTTAAAAAACGAAGAAAATATTCCGATTTAAAACTCGGTTTAGAAAGACGGTTTACAAACGTGTTGTTGAAAACTAATCGAATTAAATGGAACGACACATTTTATACACATACACAGAGAAATCGTTATCTGCTTATGGCACCAAATACGTAAACCGCCATTATCGCTAGTAGTTTTATTATAATCACCTCGACCCACGACGTATTCGTCGTTTAATCTGACGATATATATAGATATAATAGAAATAATATTTATTTTACATTACGATTCTCAATTCTTATCAAAGAATTCCATTTTTAACTTCGCCAATTGTGATCCTCGTTGTATCGATCTTCATTTTTTTAAATTATTTAATCGAGTTTACGCTTATAGTATTTAATGTATGTATTATGAAAGAGATAGGAAAACAAGAATTACGTAATACTTATACATTACGGAGTCATTGTACACATACATACATATGTATCGTGTGTAGATCGACAGACCGAAAGAGAGACAACGAACGTACTTACATGTTTATAACCTAATTTAAAAAATATTACCTAAACGAGTTACGCTATTATCAAATAAAGTATTCAAATAATACAAATTTATTTCAATAAAATAAAAGACAACATTTTTTTAATTGTATTGCGTGTATTTTGATTTAGTGTTTTTACTTAAATTTATTAAATGTTGGGCAGTAATTCAAGTTGAAATCTACATAGGGTAAAAGTAAAAAAAAAAATTCAAAAAGAAGAAAAAGAAAAAAAAGGAAGGGGAGAAATAGGGATATCGGTAAAACGTGAGTGTGAAATAGCTCTGACGCATACGTCACGCGACACCTTTGCTGCAGCAACGTGTTTCCGCATGCGTCACGCAACACGTCGCGCGAAATCCTATCCCATTCTATCGTGTAAACGTGTTCTCTCCAAGATATGCTTCAACAAAAATCATTTCTTATTTTATTTATTATGTATAATAGTTTTGTTTCTATATGTTATTTTATAAATTCATTGAATTGCACAATTTAAGAAAATGTCGAGTTCTAATCTCAATGTTGAAATAGGTTTAGAAGGGATTAAAATCGACATCATAACAAGCACTATCGCACGATGCAGCACGTTATCTAATACTGACGTTCGCAATGATCACAATAACGATAACGATAACGACGCGTCGTCGTCGTCGTCGTCGTCGTCGTCGTCGTCGTCGTCGTCGTTCACGAAACGAGGGCGTGTTCTTTGTTTCTAGTTCTATTGTACCTACGTACTAGATTCGGTTGTCTATTCCAAAGAGAGTCACGTGCAAATCCATTTTCTATCCATTTTCTATCCATCCATTTCTAATCGTGCCCACGTTGCTTAACTTTCCAGCTTGATTAGATCTTCATTTCGATACATTCCTTATATTTTCATAATATAATTAACAACGCGAAATAACGCTAATATTTCATCATCAAAGAGAAACGACGTAGGACGAAGGTGCGCATTTGCCGTTGTTTCGTCACATGAGAAATTCACGTGGGTGGACTTTCCTGTTCCAACAAAAATCACGTTCTCAATCGATAATAAAGAAGACCGACTAACAGTCGGTCAATATATAGATAATAGTTAGTTAGTTAGTTATGGAATTAAAATAAATGCAAATAAGAAATCATGAAATTGATTTCGTCTGAATTTTCGCTACGTGAAAAGGAAAAAGTTTGAATAATCTTTCTTTGGAATGTCAATACCAAGAAATGTAGAAAAATTTCTCGTTGATTTCAATAAAGCACGTAGTTAAGTTTAAATGCAGTATTTGACTAATCGCGAAAATCGCTTCCAATAAATGCTACGTAATCATTTCGAGGAGGATGAAACATTGAAACGCCAGGAATCATATGTTTCGATCTAAATAACCAACGAATGCCCGTCGCGGAATTATATTACGACCTCGAATTTCCGAATCTAAGCAAATAATTCTAAACGATACTAAGGAATATATATATATATTTGAAGATAATATAATTTCGTCGTAAACGAGCCGTGCCAAAGAAAACGTCGTTCATTCAGTTACGTGTTTTCTAAGTATGTTGTAAACAAAAAAACTGTGAGATTATTTCTTAGAAGAAAGAAATCATTCGTGTAATATCGTTAACTATCGTCAGAAGAAGAGAAGGTCGACAAGATAGGTAGGCAAGCAGACAGGCAGGCAGGCAGGCAGGCGGACACGTTTTTGCAAGGGCCGAAAGAAAGCCGGCACAAGAGAGCACGTGAATATTAGACGAGACTCGTTGATATATTTACAACAATGCCGCTAAAAACTCTACCTTACTAGCCAAGCACGAGGCCAAGTTTGTTGAGTTTAAAGTGTCTATATAAGCCAGCCTATGGCAAAGTATCTAAAGCCTCGTTCGCCAGCACGTGGCAGCAAACGCGCAACGCGAAACCTTTTAACGGTGCAACGAGTCGCAAACTCCTTCCTTCTTATAATTTTACGTAACAGATCATTGCAGAACCTAACGTTCTAATGTTCTCGTGAGCGTGCCCCTACTATATTAGATGATGACTAACCGAGGACAGCACAGATCTTATTGTCTACCGCAATAGACTGTGTCTTGTTTTATTCAAAGTTCATTGTATTTTACAATATTATATATATATACATATATATAATTTTTTAAACAATTTGAGACAAATTCTTTAACAACTATTTCAACGTTGCTCGCAAGTAATCAAACGTACCAAGTTACAATTAGAAAAACAACGAGGTAAATATATTGCATTACATGATCGTTCGGTGACTTGATAATAAATAGAAAACCTGAATAAATATAAATATTAGTTGGCGCGTGTATAACAGAGAATCTATTATAATATTACGACAATTCAACACGTGGATATGTTTTATGAATGTAGGCGTACGAAATTATATAACTGCGTCACCACGTGTCGCTTCGAGTGTTGAAATTTGATTATCATGTTACATCGTGTTATAATTGTGAAACATTTTTTTTCTTTAAATTTAAATGGTTTTTCACTTCAAAAATAGTTAGTCGGTTAATCTTCCCCAGTTATCGCAGACTATGGGTTTCCGGATGAGAGTTGGGACAAACGATATTCCATAACCGCATAAAACACGTGGCCTGGCTCTTTTGCGGAAACTCAAAGCACTTACGTAACTTCTCGTGAACGGATGAACATCGTCGCACATTTGCGTTGGTATATTTCTATAATAATCAAAAGTATACACGATATTGCGAATACGTAGAAATCATAAAAGTAAACGTGACGCTTTTTGTAATAGTAAACTTTACGACATATAATCGTACAATAAACATACATATAATATATATATAGATAGATATATAAATTTATCTTGCAAATGATAAATGAATTTGAATGAATAAGTATGTTATTTTTTTGCTATTTTAAAATTAAAATCAAAGAGATTCGTATATCATAAATGCTTAAATATGGACCTAGCTTATATACGTATACACATATACTCACATCCTTCTTAGAACATTGTTTTATTACTGCTCCGATATAACACAGAATTATTTAACCGTGTTAAAGGAAAATTAAATGTATATAGCGTGTGTGTGTGTGTGTTTTTTTTTATTTATTTATTTTTATACAAACGCGTGGATCGTTGAAATTTCAATTAAATAGAAAACACTCTGTATATGCATACTGCATATAAACTCCTATAAGACGATTAACTCGTTTGGTAGAAATAAAATAAATGAAAAGATTAGAACTTTTGGAAAATGCAATCTCCCAGGCCATGACCAAAGGGTTAAACAAGAAGACCCATCTAGTGTTTAAATGTGGTAAACACACTAGAAGCATTATGACATCGTAATATTGTAATCACGCGCGAAAGAGGCAGAGCAGAAGATCAAACGACGATGATACGTGCGATCTCCGAGGACCGGTTACTTAAATAGGGATGCGAGCATTTATTTTATCGTCATTAATTGAAAGCGATTTCACGAAGGGTAACGCTGGCTGAGGACGTTCCTGTACAAGAGGGAGGTCACTGACTTGGGGACCTTGAGCGCGACCTTACCTAAGATTACTCTCTCTCCCTCTTCGTCATACCCATATCTTCTCTTTCGAATATTTGACCAAAATCAGAAAAATACAAAGATTGAAATCTTTTGTGCAGTCATATGATTTCCCTGTTTGTTGAAAGAATATAAATTAGATTTTTTATTATCAATCATATTTTATCGTCCTTCCACATTTCGAATTTTATATTCAACTAACAAAGTGACTCGTTAGTATTTATTTTTAGTCGGAAACATCATATTCTTCCGGAATATATATAAATCGGATGATCGAACCTCTACGCTTATAAAATGTGGAGGTAAGAGTGGGGAGGTAGGAATTTGAAAATGTTACAAGCCTGCGATAGTTGTTACTCAAGAAGCGTAGATCGTGTATAGAGTTGCCTCGTTGGATCACATCGCACTGTGATAGTTACGTAATATTGAGCAACACCGAGTTACGACAAACACGCCGGCGTGTATAACTTTATCGGTCACCGCTGTGTTTGATATTCGCTCATTAAGAAATGAAAGACGATCATCAGAGGATATCGACCAGTGTTTACGAAATAATGCTCTCGTCAAATAACTTTTCATTTTGTCTTTCCAAATTTGATACAGCAAACTTGCATAATACAAAAGAAAAAGTTACGAATTCACTGACCGTTCTTGTTAAAAGATTGATAAGAAAGACGATTTTCCTCGAAGAACAATGTCTATCCACGTGTTAATATACGCATTAATACACGCATCAATACACAATATGCATGACCAAAAAGCAAACGATCAATACAGTTTGCGATCTTTCAAATGAGTGTTCTCGCGTGACGAATGGCCGAGGTTACCGAAGGAGGTCAACCATCTGTAGGAATCGTAAAACGTTTCCTCTTTCCTGATTCCTAAGCCACACTTATTATGGCCTTTTCTGAGCAAGTTGGATATTAGCGTTCGATCGTCATTGTAGAAAATGAAAATAATAAAAAAATCAATTCTTCCGCGTCAGACAAAGCTAGCTCTCTTGTACATAATAAATTATCATCTTACTACACTTTCTATCGTTATCTAAAACAATTCAAAGTAAACTATTACAAATTGTCAATGCACTATATCGGATAAATTACCTTTCATGATTCAATGATATGTACATATTCGATATTTTGAAATCGAACGTCGTTTCGACCTTATCGAAAACAAAGACGATTATTTTATTGTCAACTCATCGTCGTATAAATTTGTATTTTCAATCCATACGAATACATTTCTAATTATAAGTGCTAGCCTATTAATATCGTTGCATATTTGGCAATCGTTTATATAATCGTGCAATAATAGTATAAATGTAGTAGATACGTTACAAAACCTTTTCGAGTTCATCGAACAATAATTATTGAATTAACAACTAGACATTTTCCATCTTTGTAATCTTAATATAATTGATCTAATTTTGTTTTTTTCCTCTATTATTTGTCGCAGATGTACTAAGAAGACGAATTATGGTGGCAGAATTTGTCGCCCGTCAAAGTGGATCGCCCATCAATGGTGAGACCGCTTGCCTAAATAGCAACATGCCAGCTAGCCACACAATGGCACACGCAGGTCACGATGCTCACGGACCATTACCACCGCTAACACATCCGGCTCATCACGGTGGACCGATTCAACAGCACCAACCGCAGCCGCAGCCACAACAACAGCCACCACCACCACCACCACCACCTCAGCAGTCTCCTCATCACCATCATCACCATCATCAGACGCAACAACAGCAGCAACAGCAACAGCAGCATCATCATCATCATCATCAACAGCAGCAGCAGCAGCAGCAGCAGCAGCAGCAACAGCAGGCACAACAGCAGCAGCAGCAGCAGCAGCATCTTCAACAAGACGCCCAACAGGTGACACATCCCGAAAACTTCCCCCCGAACTTCGACATCAGAAAAGAGCTCTTTTCCCAGCGCAAGCAACGAGAATTCATCCCGGACAACAAGAAGGATGACAGCTATTGGGACCGGAGGAGACGCAACAACGAGGCAGCCAAGCGGTCACGCGAGAAAAGACGATTCAACGATATGGTTCTCGAGCAACGAGTTATGGAGCTGAGCAAGGAAAACCACATCCTAAAGGCGCAGCTCGAGGCAATACGCGACAAATTTGGAATATGCGGCGAATCCGTGATCAGTACGGAACACGTTCTCGCTGCGTTGCCCGCGGAGCCACCGATCAGCGTTAAGAGGGCGAAACTACCAACATCGGCAGCCATTCTTTACGCGAGAACTCCCAGCCCGGTTCACACCTCGGTTATCCACCAGCCGGTCAGCGGTGCCAGATCACCAAGATCACCTGCGCAGCTTTACGTGCCCGAAACAACGGCTTATCCGGAAACGGAGAGCTTCCAATATCCTTACCCACACCCAGCTATGCATCTCGATACAACGAGCGCGTTAAATTTATCACGCGGTCGAAGAGCACAATCACCTTTCGAGTTGTCCTCTGGTAGCGGCGACGAAGGTGGACCACAATTGGTAGTAAACTCATCGGCCAACAACAGTCTACCGCACAAACTGAGGCATAAATCCCGCATCGGTGACAAGGACGCCGCTAGTGCTCTCCTTGCGTTGCAAGGTATCAAGCAGGAACCTGGACCAAGAGCGTCGCCCCCATGGGACAACGAAGGTTCCAGCGACGAACGTGATTCTGGTATTTCTTTGGGAGCCGAATGGACCGGACCAAGCGTCGTACCTACCGTCCCGGAAAGTGAAAGGGAAGTCAAGTCGAGGCTCGATCGTCTCGCATCCGAAGTTGCATCTTTGCAATCGATATTGCGTCTTGGCAAGCCAGCCGACAGTCTTATGACTGGACACTCATTGTCAACTAACGCGACGACCAATGGACCATGAACGAAACTACATCTTTCCAAGAGTTTTCTCTGCATAATTAACTCTATTCGAATTGTTTGCGCGTTTTATTCTCTTTGAGATGCTCTCCCCAATTGGTTCTTGCTTGCTAATAACTTTGATCAAAGTTTATTAGAAAATATCGAGCCATTCGTTTACTTGTCGCGTGAACAACAAATTCTACCCTCAAACGACGAACAAAAGAGGAGGAGGAGGAGGAGGAGGATCGTCATAAGAACTTTCTTATGAATTTTCAGTGACTATCGATGTACGCACGGGCTTACTACTCTACAAATATACGTGTTACATATTATTTATATACATGCGCATAGATACGTACAAATTTCTAAGGAGTTTAGGAAAACATTTTAAAAAGAATTTCCAACGAGAGTTTATTATTTTCTATACCTAAGTGATATATGTTTACTTTTTTCCTTTCTTTGATTTAATTAATGAAATAACGAATCAATCATCCTACTCCTTAAGGCGCGTATTCCCTAAGCGGATTTATTATTAAATAGTAAACGAGTTAAGCTGCTTTCACGCGAATGCAATTTTACAAAATGTATCCACAATACTTACGTTTCGTCGGCGTGTACGCGATAAATACCCCCTCTTTCAAAAATATTTCATTTCAAAGCCTACCTATAGTAACATTTTAGAAATGTTATTTCGTGTCGAAGCGGCTTTATTCTCTTATTTAACAATTACGTCGCGCAACCGGCTATCTCACTACCACAACGATACGTTCAAAAATGTAACATTTCGTATCATAGAGATTGATAAAGCGTTGAAATAATAAGCTCTCGTTTCGATAACATTCTTCTTCAAGACTATTTTCATTTTCTTCCTACGTAAATTACATACATATATATATATATATATATATATATATATATATATATTCATATATGTACATTAATATTTACAGAAAAGGAAAGAAAAAAATGTCTTTCATTGAAGAACGGATGTATCACGTCACGTTTATACACACGCACACACCACACACACACACACACACAAAGTCGCCTTATTAGAAATTACTATACTCTACATCTATGGCGCACGATAAAAATCAAAACAATCATTATCATTATCTTTTTTCTTCTTTTAATACAATTCTCGAGCCTTTATTGTCCAACCGAATGAATCTATTTTTATGCAAAATCAATGTTTTTACATTCGCCGACGAAAACAAGAAAATAAAAGAAAAGAAAAGAAAAGATAATGAAATAAATGAATAAGACTCGAGCTTTACTTATGAATGATCATCGTGATCGCGTATTTAAACTTCTTTTTCTTCATGATTTTATCATAATTTAATCGTTAACATCGTTAATCGTTTTCTCACCTCTCATTCTTCTTCTCGCGATTATATTCATATTTAATACTTTTGCTATCGGTGATCGTAAAAAAGATATGATCGTACGCGTATACGTCCAGATAAGGAACGAGAATTCATCCATCATACCGCATATGATCATCCAAAATATACCTATATATATATATATATATATACACACATACATACAGGTGTATATATTATTGACTTGCAGTTTACGTAACTGCTCAATGGGTACTTTGTACAGCACCATTTAAACGTTATATTATATATCGAAATATTGACAAAATTTGAAAGTATTTTTATCCGATCTTCGTTTTGATAAGCTGAAATTCATTGTCAATCTTCAAATCGAAATTTAGGATCGAAATATTAAGTGAGCCTATAGTTATATATTAAATACGTAAATATATATATACAAAAAAAATATATATATATTTGTGTGCGTGTGTATGGGTGTGTGTGTGTGTGTTTGTGCGCGCGTGTGTGTGTATATATATATATATGTAGGAATATAGAAATAATTGTATTTTTCGACATCGTGATTATGGCGAGCGGTTATTGTTCATTAAATTCATCGAAATGAAATGAAGCAGCGAGTCGTCGTTAGTCTTATACAATATAGTAACGATTTTTAAATAGAATTGAATATTTTTTGACGAATGACTGATTCTCGAAAAAAAAAAAACAAAAAAGCAAAAGATATTTGCAAAGTGCATATAGTTCATTAGAAAGTTAATTCGCGTTACAATAACTTTGCGTATTTGTTTATTGTATGACATATTGTATACGATAAGTCAAAAATTAATTGGCATATTTGAAATGAACTAATGTCTTTTTTGTATACCAATTACAAAGAAAGTTTTATTAAAAGTTCTTTAGTGTGCTATATACGATAATGAAAGATCTTATAAAGAAGGATTGATCGATTTTGTAACAGAATGGATACAAGACACAATCGATCAAACAAAAAAATGCATACATTATTTTTTATACATGTCTCTATTTATATAATCTTTAGACAACAAATGTAAAAAGATTCTCGCTTTGTACTTTTTATCGTGATTAAAATAAAACCATTTATTTTCCTGTTTTTTTTTTCTTTTTTTTTTTTTTTTTAGTTTTTCTTGATTTTTTTGCTTAAAAACGTTTCACGTATAGCACACTAATTTCTTCATATCTATTCGAATATTGAAATCACTAATTGTTTAATAAGAAGAAAAATGACTCAATAACAAAGTGACAAAGCATATATAGAAATACAATATAGTATATAGTTGGAAAATTGTTCAAATATTTTGATATTAAATTTGAAGGAAAAAGAGAGAATGAGCCATTCGAACGTTATCGACGAGGATGTCTGCTATAATAATAGCTATAATAATAGCTATAATAATAGCTGTAATAATTTCTATAATAATTGCTATAATATGGAACAAACGAGTCGACCAATTTCTATATCATTGACGTCGACGATTAACAGTGATTAACATTAACCGAAAGCTATTTTAATTATAAAACGTACCTCTATTTATATTTATATTACATCGACCGCCTATTTAACGAATGCGAGCGACCGTAACGAAAAACAGATAAGCTGAAACGATTTCGTTTGAATCACATCCAAAGCAGATCAAAGATGGTACTTGATCTGTAAGCACGTTCATTAAGATTTATATAAAAAGATAAAAAAGAAAGACAAGAAAAAAAGCACCTCACAAGACTGTTTATTATAATCAGCGTTATTCGCGGAAAAATTTGACAATGATTTTATTCTTTTTCCCTTATAATATATCTCTCTACTTGTAATTATATTTTTATTTTTCTTATTTTTCTTATTTTTCTTATTTTTCTTATTTTTTGTCTATAAATATCATTTATATTTTATACACGGCATGTGTTATACAATAATGCGCCAAATTCTAAAAACGAGAGGATGCCGTTTACCAAAGGAATCGTTTTTAAATAAGCCAATTCATTATTATTGGCTACCAAGAAACAGCAAAGAAATATTTCAAAGACACAAGCACACGATAAAGGCTATCCTAGCAATAAAAAAATATTCTTTAAAATCGCCTCTTGCCCGGAAAAGAAAAAAAAGAAAAAAAAGAACAAAGATAAAGAAGCAAATGACGCAAATGATAAATAATTATTTGGTGATTTTTCATTTTTTGATTACCTACTTCTATAATATAAACATAATCGTTTGAATTTGTTCAAATCTAATTATAAGAGATCTATCTCATAGTGAAATCTGATAATAAACAGAATACGTTTATTAAACTTTCTTCTTCGTCCAGAATTTGTATAAAAATGAGAAAAATACGATAAAGCGCGTATTAAATAATTGACAAATTAATTGCTGTAGTATTACCGTGAGTGCCTATTAGATACATACATAATACATAAATACGTATATGATATATGAGTAGTAGTACATAGGAGAGACAAGAGTTGGATGTATCCCTCTGTGTTAATACTTTAGTGAATATCATTGATGGATTGATTATCATTTTTATAGCCGTCCGAAAATATGAAGCATAGTCATCGTAAAATGAAAAAACAAAATTATTTGAGGTGAGACTATCTACAGCGTGCAATCGAAAATACATACTACATATACATACAAACATATACTATACATATGTATGTCGCTTGTCAAATTTCACGATCCGTGAAATAATTGTGACGATAACGAAACTTGTTCGTTGTGGAAGAATAGATTAACACCATCAGACGACTTCCTCGATCTAATTAATTGATCTTGGATGTCTATTTAACGTTTATGTATACACTATATATACATATACGTAAGTAAACTGCACTTTTGCCAAAAAGCACGCTAGTCGTGCGTGCCGTCGAATGGCGTACATTTTCAAGGGAAGTTTTTTTTGTCAAATCGGCCGGAGAGAAGGAATTTCGTTACCCTATTGTTGTTGTAGTAATAATATTAATAATAAGAATAAGAATAAGAATAATAATAATAATAATAATAATAAAAATAATTGTAATTACAATAATAATTTTAATAATAATAATAATATTAATAATAATAATAATAACGGGTGTTTTAAAGACAGTTCCTATACAATGCTAAAACGAGTTAGGCGGTCGACTGTTGTCTATATTAAAATATGGCAATTATGAAAATAATGACTACGACGACTATGAAACGACAAGGAGATATCGCGATTCCAATATAAGCTTGATTTTCCTTTCTTCGGCTGTTCCGGAGGTGTATGTATTTTAGATTTTAATAAACATATCCACACACACACACACACACACACACATACACAGAGCGTGTAGTGTACTTGTATATGAACTATCAAAATAAATATTTTCAATGTTTTTAACAATATTTGATGAAATTTCTATTATCATTGACTATGCTCTATCGCAACGTTTCTCAACCTACAATCCTTATCAACTGAAATCTTATACAAAAGTAAAAAAATTCATTCATTCATTTAATACAAGATTTCTAAAATGTTTTTGCAAGTTCGTAAGAATACAAAATATACAGCGATTCCGATATATTTGGGTTTTTCACAATTTTATATTATAAATATTAGAGTCTTTGTACAGTTATTAACAAATAATGTATGTGTGTTGAGATATACGTTCGTCTATCAAAGAGATTCTTGACAGTCAATACCATAGTATTTATTTGTCAGAAATTATTCGCAATAATCTAAAAGAAGAAAACTTCAAAGAAGAAATGAACTTTAATGTTTTATTCTTTATTGTACATATTTCGACAAAACTCACTCCGTCTATTCATATTCTTCTTTACGTCGTTTAACAATAAGCCTACCGACAGTTTACATTTACTTATTCATACTTATTTAAATTGGTCTTGAACAATAATGAAATTTTTCACATTAGAATACAGATAATAGTCAATAGTCAATTTGATACTGGCTTTTTAAATTAATTTTAAAAAACCAAATTTTAATTTCAAATTAAAAGCCAGTATGTTTAGTGTTAAGCGACGAGAGAACTGCACAATTCCACTCTTAAATCTATCGCATATACATTATTTTACATTAATATTTCTATTTGTTTAGTTTACAAAGGTTTTTGTTAAATATATATATGTATATATATAACGAAACTTTTTATTATATCTTTATTTTTAATATGCATATTTTTCTTATCCAGTCTTTCACTATCTAATGTATTGTTTTTTTTTTATTATTCGCATATTTTAAATAATTGTATATGTTTATAACCGGAAATAGTATAATATATAATATAAATTGTCAACGCGCGCGCGTTTTTACGCGTGCAAAGAACAAATGGCTTTCTGCGTGATATAATTTTTTTTTTATTACTTTTTATATTGAATTATATATATATAACTATCAATTTTGTTGCGTTTATTTTTAATTATTTTATACCATCTTCCGCTAATATAAAATCGTATATTTCATTATTAAACCGATTTACTTTATATGATACCAAATGATAATTAAATAATATATATATTAATTAGTATAAACTTGTGAAATAAAACAATTAAAAAATTGATACTTAAGTAAAATACTTAAGATATATCATACTTATAAAATTGATAAACAAACATTTCCAATATATTAATCTCTACACGATACAATAAATAATCAATCAAAAAGTGCGAATTTGTATTATGAATAAAAGATGATTAATAAACGAGATGAGATTAATTAAATCTTACAATATTTCATATGAAATCTTTCGAAATAAATAATAACATCTATAAATCTTGAATCTATAAATATTGAAGAACATTGTAAATGTTAAAATTTCTTTTCAATAAAAAACCTTATTATTCTGCATCTTTATTAAAGATTGCGTTAAATAAAGGTTCAGAATAAAAAGCAGTTATTGTATTTAATAAATGTTACGTCTTTAACACCACTTGTGCCAATAATTTCAAAAATGGCTTCTTTAAATCAAGATATTGATTGATTGATGATGATGATGATGATGATGATGATGATCATTCATTTGATGATTTATTTTATATGATAATATAAATAATATTAATCTAAAATAGATCATGAAATGAATTTATTCAAGTTTTTAACTGATATCACTTTCATCATTACCAACCTATTTTGTCAGCTCGATATCGATTACTTTCGTTTTTTACATTTAGTTCTACCACGTCGTCGACGTGAGGAATTGGTACGAGTATCAGCTTTCTTCGAAGACCTAGAAACATTTAAAACATTAACAACATCTATTCATTCACCATTCACCATTCACCATTCACCATTAATTTTCCTTGCTTCACTTATACTTAGCATTTGATAAACTATTAAATTTCTATAGCATACCTGTGAACTCGACTCACTGATACAGATGTATGTTTCTTTAAAGTAAGATGTTGCTGAACTAATTCAGCTAATTTGCCTTGCTGCGCTAACATGGAAAGAAAAGTACATATAAACTCGTCATAATTATGTGTCCTTCTGCAATCATCAATCTGAAATAATAGAATAATTATTTGAACATTTATCTATGATCCATAATTATTTGAAACGACGCTATATACTAACTTTATACTTATTTCTTTTATCATTTTCATCTTTTAAACTAGTTTCGCAACTATTTATCTCGTGTTCCAAATTTTTCAATAATGCTAAGAGATCCTTCGGAGCAAATGTATGTGGCTCAAAGAGTTCTGGATATTTGGAACAGTTCTGAAATTTTGGATCTATTTTTTCAACTTTCTTTTCTTCCGTTACCGTATCACCGTTACTGGTTTTGACACGTGCATGCGGTATTCTCACTTCTCCGGATAAACAGACTTTTTTATGTAAATGTCCACTATCCGAAACCAGTCTCTTTCCATTTATATTGATGTTACCAAGAGAACGACCTTGCAATAAATATTTTCTCATCAATCATTTATAAAAAGCAACAATCTTTACGTTAGTATTAATAATTGTAAGTAGTAATTGATATTTACTTAAACCTGCTGCTTCATGCTTTTCATCTCCAGCCACTCTGATAACGACAAATTTTTTGAAATCTTTTGTCGATGTTGGACTGCTTTGACCTGAATTCCAACCCCAAGCTAGAAAATGATATTAAAAACGATATTAAAAATTAGAAGACAATATNGGGGGGGGGGGGGTAGGAATATGTGAAGAATTTCATTATCTAAATATATTGTTAAGAAATATTTTCACTTACCTTGTGTTGGTGAATTAAATGCAGATCCAATTTCAGAAGATGTATCAGTACTCGATGAACTATGAGCCGGCGAAGTCTGAATTTGAAGTGGAGTAGCATAATCTAAAGCGCACATTACTACCTTTTCCATGCTACTACAATAGAAATCAATATTTATTTCACAATCACAACATCAATATTATTTTCACATTTGTAAATGGCCAAATGAATATATTAATATTCCGCTAAATATAATTTGTAAAGAAAATAATACTCTTTACCTCGAATCAATTTTAGTAGTACCAATATGTGAAGTAGATTCTTCAATATCAGTTGTAGTATCATTATTTCTCTCAATAGATATAGCAGACGACGACTCATCTTTTTCTATTTTATTGGATAATACATTTTCTTCGTCTACCTTTATTTTCCTATCGCACAATTTATCCATTTTCTCGGGATCATTAGTTGTTTTCTCCGTTCCATTATCTTGGTGGGTTAACTTTACAAGTTGCTGTAATGCTTCCAAAACTATTTGTCTATTTGTTTTTAACATAGTTAATTTATGTGAAATAGCTAAGCGACGATCAGGAACAACAGCCATTAAATTAAATCTTATATCTTGTAATTGTTCACCCGTAGCCATACCTAAACGATCCGTAATAACTCTTCGAAATTGTTCCGTCCATTCCTCGTTTTCCATCCATGGTCCATGATCCATAGGATATGGTTTTAAACCATCCAATTCAAAAAGTCTACCATTTATTGGTACATAACTTACAAAATGAAATGCTTCACCGGTAAATCTACCAGTTGAAACTCCAGTATTTTTATCTTGACGTCTTTTAGCTTGCGGCATAGCATGCGAATTGTGAGCACATGCTAATTCTGGCGTGTTACCTATTGCCCAACCTTTATTTTCCGGACACATTCCAGACGTATGCAATTTTAAACGCGATAAAGTTGTCCCCAAATGAATATTTGGACAATTCAATAAGACGGATAATAATGCGTGTGTTGCACAACTATTAGGAACAACCTATACATAAATATTATTATATTAATAATATCGTTAAAATAAACAACACCCTTATTATGCGGCTTGTGATAGTAATGAAATATAAACCTGTTGCGCAAAAAATATGTTATTCACAATGTCTTCATCTTTAACAAAACTTTCCGTCTGTTCTACAACTTTACGCCTCGAGCGTCTCTCCTCTATCCAACGAAATAAGAATATAAACCCATAAACTGGACCTTCTAAAGACTTTTGTAAGTCATATATTTCCTCTACTTGTACACCTTTAACACCAAAGTCTTCTAACAGAAGCGTAAACAGTCCTAGTAAGATATAAAGAAATCAATGATAATTAAATTCTTCCATGTCTCTCTCATAATTTGTTTATATCGTCTGAAATATATTTGATGTATTTTAATCCTTCAATCGTTCTTTGCTTTAGATTTCAAACTTATTACATAGTACAAATTGCTAAGTCATATTACATTTCAAATATATTACTCCAAGCCAATTTTGATCTTTCTTTTTCTTTTTCTTTTTCTTTTTCTTTATTTTTACTTTACGTGTTATTACATCGATTACAAACATGAACATGAGTAGTAAAGTAAGTTATGAACTATTATATCAACCTGTAATAACACATCAAATATAATTTCAATTAAACATTTGGTCAATACACAATTGTAGTAGACCTATAAATTCTTTTTTACCCATCTATATATAAATAATCATATATACCTGGATCACTTTCTAGTTCTAGCCAACCTTCTGTCAATCGATTAATATCAACAGGCATCCTTGTATCCAATTTTGAATCCTAATTGAGGTACAACCAGACGGATAATTTTTATTATTTTAACCTTATACTGTCAATATAATATGTTAAAGGCGCCATGTTACATCAAAACATATGTCACGTGACTTTATCACGTGACATTGGCAGACATTTCAAGAGAAATACAATAAAAATACATTATACATGGTGTATACTGTAACTGTTATTATATTATTTTGCTTTTCGATTTGAATCAATCCAGATATTGATATTTTTCTAAATTAATTGCCCTCCCTAATGTAACAAAGCTTTACAAAATTAACACTTTACAGTGTTTCAATTAATTTAGATTTTCTCCAATTAAAATGTTCCTTTTAAAAATCGACCAATCAATTATGATTTTAAAATAATAACGAATCAGCGAGTGGCGTTAGAAACGAGATGAAATCGCCAATCCTAAGATGGCGTCAAAGTGACATGCATTTCTTGATAGTTTTCATACGAACAATTGAGAAATTAAACTTTCGCAGTGTTTACTTTTACAAATTGTCAATAAAATAAATGGAATTATAAAAGAATAGCGTGTGTTTTATTATTGTAATTGAGAACAAGATAAAATTTGCAAAAATGACGCTAACTAACAGAGTAAGTTAAGACCTTAACCTAATATTTGTCATTTTTTCTATAAAATTGATTTATTTATCAAATTTATTTGATTATATTTTTATTACAATTTAGATGGAGGTAGATGAGAAGAATGCAAAAGGAGAAGGTTTTAAACCATACTATATAACGAAGATTGAAGAACTACAACTAATAGTAGCAGAGAAAAGTCAGAATTTAAGAAGATTGCAAGCACAGCGTAATGAATTAAATGCAAAAGGTATATTAAGTATTTAATTAATATACGTATCCATTTAAAAAGATATTTCATCAACAATATTGTATAACTTTTGCTCTTTCATAGTGCGTATGTTACGAGAAGAATTACAGCTTTTACAAGAACAAGGTTCCTATGTTGGAGAAGTTGTAAAACCGATGGATAAAAAGAAAGTTTTAGTTAAAGTTCATCCCGAAGGAAAATTTGTAGTTGATTTGGATAAAAATATTGATATTAATGATGTAACACCAAATTCAAGAGTAGCTTTGCGCAATGAAAGTTATACATTGCATAAAATTTTACCTAACAAAGTGGATCCACTAGTTTCATTGATGATGGTAGAAAAAGTACCAGATTCTACTTATGAAATGGTAGGAGGCTTAGATAAACAGATAAAAGAAATTAAAGAGGTTATCGAATTGCCTGTTAAACATCCAGAATTATTTGATGCACTTGGTATCGCTCAACCAAAGGGTGTTCTTTTATATGGTCCACCAGGTATAAATATGATTAGATTTTATTAGCATTAAATATGACTAATAATATATATATATGTATATTTATATACGTGGATAAAGTAAATAAATGAATGCAATCCTTGATAACAATTTTAGGAACAGGAAAAACTTTGTTAGCAAGAGCCGTAGCACATCACACAGAGTGCACATTTATTCGTGTATCCGGTTCAGAGTTAGTTCAAAAGTTTATCGGTGAAGGATCAAGAATGGTTCGTGAATTATTTGTAATGGCAAGAGAACATGCTCCTTCTATAATATTCATGGATGAAATTGATTCCATTGGTAGTTCTCGTATTGAATCTGGATCTGGTGGTGATAGTGAGGTACATTTATTACTATTATAATTTATCCATTTTTTATAATACTATTCAGAAAGAAATGATTCAATTTATGATCCATCTTTCTATATTTAGGTTCAACGGACTATGTTGGAATTACTTAATCAATTAGATGGTTTTGAAGCAACCAAAAATATCAAAGTTATTATGGCCACTAATAGAATAGACATTTTAGATCCTGCTTTACTTCGACCAGGTCGTATAGATCGTAAGATTGAATTTCCACCTCCTAATGAAGAAGCTAGACTTGATATTCTTAAAATTCATTCTAGAAAAATGAATTTAACGAGAGGTATCAATTTAAGAAAAATTGCTGAACTTATGCCAGGTGCATCAGGAGCAGAAGTCAAAGTAAAGATTTTATATAATCTCGTATTTATTTCATCTCTCTCTCTCTCTCTCTCTCTCTCTCTCTCTCTCTCTCACACACACACAATAATGTTTTCTAGATAAATATTATATTAAATGTATCTCTATTTCGTGTAAAAATAATCAATTTTATTTATTCAGGGTGTCTGCACAGAAGCTGGCATGTATGCTCTTAGAGAACGACGAGTTCATGTAACTCAAGAAGATTTTGAGATGGCTGTTGCTAAAGTCATGCAAAAAGATTCGGAGAAAAATATGTCGATTAAAAAATTGTGGAAATAATTACTTCAAATAATCTATCAGATTGTCAGATTGATATCAATTATATATTGCAACTTTTATAATAATGTTTCTAATATATATATATATTGATCAAATTGTACGTAGAGAAATAAAATTAATTAACTTTACAAACAAAATCATAAGATAACTTGTTTGATATTCGTGTAATTTCTATTCAAACTAATATGAATACAAAAATAACCAGATTCATCAAAATATTTATACTATAAAATTTCGATGAAATTGTGTTTTATTAACATGAATAAAAATAATTTGTTGTTAAATGTACTTTAATAAAACTATAATTTACTCATAGTTAAACGCTTTACTATGTTGACCACGAGATGCCGAATCTCTATTTATTCTTATATATTGTTATTTATTTGTTTGTTCTGACAATTGAAATAATATATTAACGTCTAAGCAATTTTAAGACCTCCCCGCTTCGTAATCTTCGTACTCTTCGTAGTCTTGATTGTATAAGAAAATGACATTAGTGAATTAATTATATACATACATACGATTTCAGAAGGTTGAATAATAAAATTATAAAAATTGCTTAAAGAATTATTGATAAAAATATAATCTAACTGAAATATTCTTTTTAACATATAAACAATTGCCCTCTATTTTCTCTTAACCCCTAATATAAAATATGTAGCGCGCTTTTATATAAGACAAAACTTCATTTCATCTTATATATCTTTTGTTTCTTAAATATAATATATTAAAATTGTGAACTATTTATATATACATATATACATATAATGCGTTTTCTTTACATTCATGACTATTATCAAATTTGAGAGTTGCCAAGTTTTGTATTTATAAATGAAAAAATTGTAATTGTCACATAAGTTTTTCTAAATTATTGTATATATATGTATATATACATATATATATATAATTTCACATTTCATATTGTAGAAACAAAACGCAAGAGAAAAGCGAACTTACAAATTTGCTATTTAAATTAAAGAAAACTCCATATGTAAGTGTTCCGTCTATGTAATTATTTATAATTTGTTAATTTTTACTATAAGTGCAAACGGTATTAAATATCAATGTTTTCGGGAAATAGTTTCTTAAAAATAAATACATCAATCTTTTGCGTAAGTAAAAGATAGCACATAAAAAAGCATTTATGTACCTTGTAACACATGTTACACTCACATATATACAAATTATACTAAAATGACAAATTGTAATAAGAAAAAAAAAAATTATTGCACTTATAACTAAATATATATATATATATATATTGGTTTGAAATCAATAACAGGAACTCCTATAAATATAGTTATAATTATATTAACCGTAGGATGTGCAAAAGTGTAAAAACGGATAATCGAACATTTAAGGATATTTCAATTGGACGCAGTATACGTACAATTTTCATTCGATAGTTCACAAAACTGCTAGTTTATATATTGTTCCGTTATATCCATTTAAAAAACAACAAATTATTCTTTGTGTAATTGTAGTAATAGGAGTGGATCACGGATCAATAGATAGAGTGTTTAATCATATATATATATATATATATATATATATATACGAATTAGTAATTAGAAAAATTTGAATAAACTCTAGGTCATATGTAAGATCCTTACAAATAACAAATGAACAAGTGATAATTAAACTAACAATAAAAATAAATGAAAATAATCAACATTAGATGATTGGCTTAATATAGTATCACATAGAAAAAAACGTACTAACTACTTCTTCAATTGGTTGTGGTCGTTTTTGAAGATCAATGGGCTGATCTTCCGATTGCGCGTATTTATCTCGAAGTTCTTTCCACTGATTAAAAATGTCAGTATACTTTAACACTTTATCACGTTCATCTAATTTTGTATAAACATGTAGAAGTCCACGATAGTCATATTCCAAGCCACTGTAACTTTTTCCGAATAATTTTAAACCTACAAAAAAGTGTAATGACATTATTAAGAAAGAAGAATTTCTAAGATAAGCTAATGAAACAAATTAGAACTTACTAATTGCGATGCTGCGATAATAAAGCTTTTCTGCATCTCTATATCGGTTCATGTGGAAATTATATAATGAAGCTAAATGACCCACACTTAAACCAACCTCATAATCTTCAGGTCCTAATAATTCTTCTTTTATACTTATAGATTTTAAATGCATTGCTTCTGCTTCCTACATATAATTACACAACAAATGAATAATTTCTATTTCATGAATTGTATACAACAAGGATATATAGGATATATTATATATACCTCAAATTTTCTCATACTTTGATATAAGCGACCCAAATTGCCATAATGCTTTGCTGTTTGTACATTTATTTCACCAAATGTTGTTTTAGAAAGTTGTAAGGCAGATAAATGCAGGCATTCAGATTTTTGCAATAAAGTCTGTTCCGACAAAGGCATTGGGGCATTATCTAATGCTATTTCTTCAAGTATTAAAGCTTTTACTCTTTTTGCACTTGCTAACATAATGTGATCTCCAGCAAACAATTTTTCCATTATATCTATGGCTTTACCAGCATGGTCACTGTGCATAAATTATAAATATGTGCTTTATTCCATTGAAAACAATGAAAAGAAAAAGAAAATTAAATGTTACCTTGCTTCTTGAAATTTTCCTGAATTATACTCTCGAACATATAAAGCATATGCCAAATCTTCGTGTGCCAATGCAACGTGAAGATTGGTTTTACCAAATATCGCTTTCCTAATGTCTAGTGCAGCCTAATATTTAAGATAAATATTTCATATTTAATATTTATATGATATCATCAAAGTATAGATATATCATGAAAAATATTTACCTTATAAACAGACACACTATTCACAATGCAATCGTAATTTAATAAGTAAAATCCATAATCTATTAAAACATCACTGTATTTTGGATGATCAGTATCAAAAATTTCTTTTGCAAGATAAACCGCTTGTCTAATTAATAGACCAGCTTTTTGAAATTCTCGTTTTGTTACGCACGATTTTGCTACTTGTCTTAAAACATCAATTATGACTCGTGGAGGCAATGATGGTGTTAATTGTTTTAACGCTTCTATACCCCACCTAAAGCACAATATAACAAATCTTATAATAAAAGCAACTATATATTTAGAAAATGAATTGTTTTTTTGTAAGATAGTATTAAAAGATTAGTATTAACTTACTTATACGCTTCATCATATTCGCTTCTAATAAAAAAAAGTACACTAAATTCTCCATATAATGCTGCATAATTATTGTCCGTGTATCCTCCGCATTTTAGTTGTTGAATTATTTTCAAAGCAAGTTCGTGCGTTTCAGCTGCTCCATTAAATGTGTAATATGCTGCTTGTGCGTGTAACAATCTAAACATCACAATGTATATCACACACACACACACCAAACACACACATATTCTTTATTTCATTTGCTAAATATTACAGCTCTATTACAGCACCAAGACGTAAATGTTAAAACATACTTGCAACAACATTTTAATGTACGACACAAATTTTCTAGGGTTGGCTCGTCCACAATAGATAGTTTTTTACAAGCTAACAAAACCCTTTCGCTTTCGGTATACCATCCAGCGTCACTAAGAAATCCACCAAGGCGCAAACCTATGCTTATTATTTTATCATGAGCTTCAATATGTTCCTCAGCACGAATACAGCAAATATCATAACCGATTGCTAGTTCTTTACCAACCATTGTCCCATGATCCATAAGAGCCTTGCAATTTGAATATATCATAGTAATAATATTATATTACAGTAGAAGATATTTAGAAGATATTTATGCATAAGACACAGATTATTATTGGCAAAATGTTTACCTGAAAACTCTGTAATAAATGTACACGACGATTTGTGACATTGAGCATTCTGGAAAATTTTTCCAATTCTCCAAATTCCACTCCTAGTAAACATAGTCTTCTTTCTTGATATAACTAAAAGATGTTACAATTACTAATTTATTATTGCATAAATATTACATGTCATTTATCTATATATACATAAACATACACATATACATATATAAATGACAAATAAATATTTATATCTTTATAGTAAGTTTTATGTTTATCCAATGTTATTGATATTAAAAGTTATCTTAAATTGCATTATTATGAAAATTAACGAATGAAAACTAAGTACATATTGTATACATTAGTATAACCTAGTTTATACAAATATTTCATTATAAAACATTGAACGTATTCTAAATCAATCATTTTATTTTAATAAATCATATTTTATCACATTATTCCAATCATTGTTACAATAATAATATTTCATTTCGTCTTAATTAAAAAACCACTTTTCTAATATTTATCATATATTTAAGTATTCAAAGTTGATGTCAAAGAAAATGGAATGAATAATTGTCCTATATACAAAAGTTGTTGATAAGATTTTTTTCATTTGATTTTAGAAAGATGAATAACTATTTTAATTGCTTCTTTGGGATTAAAAATATCTCTATAAGTGAAGTGTGGTGTGGTGTTGGTGGTGGTGGTGGTGGTGGTGTGTGTGTGTGTGTGTATGTGTGCGCGCGTATGTTATATGTCTTTATGTTAAATGTAAAAGGTATCGCGAAGGAATAGAAAAAAAAAAAAAAAAAAAAAAAAGAAAAAAGAAAAGGAAGAAAAAAGAGGCTTCTCTTTTTGGGTCGATTTGTTAACCTGATAATAGAGATCGAAGAGGATGTTCTCAGGTAAATAAACGAGATGTTTTCTGTATATGAGCAATCTGTCAGCTATCGCGGAGACGCTCAATTTATATAGAGTTTTCGTCGATTGCACCAGCTTCTTCTTTTCTTCGGCCATTTTCCCAGGGCCTTAGCCTTTGTATTACTTGTTTCTTTTTCTTCGACGATACCACCAATGAAACGATACGTCGCGAGATCCCTCTGATTATCAGAAAATAATGCATAGGAAAGAAGAGACTAATATACTATATATGTGTGTCGAATAATGTTGTGACCAACCAGAATCACGCTGTCGAACGGATTTGACAGCTCGACTGAACGTCTCCGTACGTTCTGACGTTTTATAGACGCGTGGATTAAATAAATCTCATTTTTTTTTCTTTCTCTTTCTCTCTCTCTCTCTCTCTCTTTCCCTCTCTCCCTCTCTCCCTCCCTCCGTCCTTCCTTCTTTCTCCTTCTCTCTTTCTTTTTCTACTATCTGTGGGCTATCATTTATTTACTTATTTTCTCTTACTTATGTTAAATTAATGGATATTTTGTTATTTTGTTTTACTAATATATTTTGAATCTTTGCTTTATTTTCTTTCTTACGATTAATAATTAATCATCTATATTTAGTTATTCCTATGAGAGAAAAACAAAAAACAAAAAAGGATTTATGTAGCATCTATTTTGTATTAGTTACATTTATCGATTTATTTGTTTCTTTTTCTCTTTTTTTTTTTTTTTTTTTTATTGTGATAATAATCATTTAAAAATGATAATGAACAAATGATATTATTAATAATTAGAGATTACCTGTTGGAATAATTTAGTGAAAATATTAACACTCGTACATATGTAAGAGTTAAGATTACATATCCTATTGCACTATATTAATTAGAATTACTTAGTTATTACATTAGTAGAGGTCGCAATGATGTATTTTTGCAAAGGATGGAGCTTCGGTTAAAGCCTCCTATCCTGATGCATCCTCGAGTGCATCCTCGAGTGTATCCTCGAATGCATCCTCGAATGCATCCACGAATGCATCAGTCCTCCTCCTCCTCATTCGACTTGGAACGATTGTTGGCGACGGTTGTGGATCGACATCCGGTGCATCTGTGCAAACTGCAATCTCTTTCTACTGTAAAGAGTAATACTATTTCTCTCTCTCTTGCACGGCGTTGCCATTGGGTAGGAGATACAGTGTTTTTGTCATTGGCTAAAAATCGAGAAAGTCGCGAAGAAATTTAGTATTATAGTTATCGGAAAATTCTAACCTGAAATAGAAAATGCGTATTGCTGGGTGTGTTACTTCCAAGTATAAACGATAACACAGACATTTTTCCTGCTGCTGTCAATTGCACGTATGCCTGTGGTAAGCGAGTATACACGTTCTACTCGAATTTCATAGTTTTTAAGTAAACGCGACATCATTCTATCCAGTTCTCAACAGCTATTCGTAATATGACGTTGTAGAAGCTACATAAGTAGCTATATATACGACGTATTATTATTCGTCAATTGCTTCTTTGAGTATGGAACGTTATAGTTGTTGTTGTTGAACATTGTACATTTCATGTTGTCTCCTCTCTTCTCCTCTCTTCTCTCCTCTCTTCTCTCCTCTCTTCTCTCCTCTCCTCTGCTCTCCTCTGCTCTCCTCTATTTTACTGTTAAAATGGTGCATTTAATATTTCTACATCTTTCAGATTAAACACTATTAAACACAAGTCTTTTTGTCTTTCCTTTTAAGAACTATTTTCTTTGTTCTTTTGTTAATGAGAAAAATCATGATTTGTGATGTCATCTGATCTGACTTCCTTAATTCAAGGACTCAAATATAGATACACATTTGCAATTTTTAGTACCTGTCTCTAACAGATCTGATTTAGTAAGCATATCTTATTTTTTATTTACATTAAATGCTCGCGTATAAATAAAATAATTACGTGTATAATTCTTAATGTTTCATTTGCAAAAACATATGTATGAATATTAGTTCTATTATTTTGTATAATGAAAAAAAGATGGTGTAAAATGTCTACGTAATAATTGAGCATACACGTCTTTCTTATTAGTAGTTCTCATTATCGTTTTCTATATTTAGTTATGTCATCAGCAAACAGTATAGAGTCCCTTGGGACATTGCAATGGGACATGATTGACTTGGCTGGACATTTAAGGCAAGAACGTTTGTTCGTTAACTCGGAACAACAAAATTTACAAACTCTCAATGAAAAGGTAGGAAATATAATAAAAATAATGATTATTTTGTTAAGATAATAGAATGTTATGTAAAGTGCTAAAGTATATATGTTATATCTTTTTAGGTTTTATATATGTCTTCTGACTTGGCTCAACAAGCATGGATTACAGCGCAACAGAGAGTTAATTTAAATCGTCTGATAGTTGCAAGGCCTGATTCTACACCCGCTTCTTGCTGTTACAAAGCAAATACACTTGAAAATTCCAATTTTATAGATGCATACAAGCATTTAAATTATCAAGCATGTTTGTCTTACGGAGAATTTCTCGGTGCTCTTCGGAAGTCACCTAAATTACTTGCATCTAGTTTAGTCATGGGAGATAAAATAATTCCAGAAGCAATTCAAGGCATTGTACAATCTTTGGCTGCTGGATTATATGGCAGTTGCTTGTTACCAGAAGATAAAATTTTAGTTCTCAAACTTTTAAGGCATTTAATGCTCTTACAAATAATACCTTCGGATAATCCACGAAGACTTCTTAGACATTGCACATGTGCATTTTCTAGATTTTATTCCTTCTTTCACGAAAGCCTTTTTTCTGCAAAATTTTTTTTAACTGCTGCATTACATACCCCTATTATACAGTTGCTTATGGAAGATGAAATATTTTTGGATATCGATCCAGACAAAGTACCCATCAGATTTCAGCCTACGGAAAGATTGAAGAAATTTGGTAAAGAAGGTACTCCCGAATATCAGGCCAAGTTACAAAGATATAGACTATGGACGGTTAACTCTTTGCATCGTATTACACAGAGGTTTATTGTCAGTATTAGAGAGAATATGCATTGTTTTCCTACCAGTATTTATTGGCTTGTTAGACAAATGGCTGGACTTCTTAGTAAAAATGGAAATGTGGAACCAAAAGAAGTACACGCTATGTGCACAGATCTTGTATTTACATATTTCATATGTCCAGCGATAGTTAATCCAGAACCATATGGTATTACAGATGCACCAATAAGTTATATAGCAAGATTTAATCTCATGCAAGTAGGACAGATTTTGCAAATACTTTCGCTCATGAAATATCAAACTATCGATACGAAAGCATTTGATTTGTATAAAAGATTTGAAAAAGATTCAGTGTCTTCCATAATTGATGTAATGTTGGAAGGTGCAACAGAGGATTTAGAAGAAGAACCTACCATTATTGATAATAATAAACTTCAAGGCCTGTGTCGTTCTGCTGCATTATTTACAGAGAATGAATTGAATACTCTGATTACATTTTTACATACAATAGCAAATGATACCAATGTGGATGGCATTTCGCATATGAGCACATTCGATAAAAAACAATTAACTGATATGCTTTCCCAGCTGCCTTCGGGATCACTAACCAGTAATGCTAAAGTTTTTAATAATATTTATTTGGAAACGCCCAATAAAAAAGGTGGTTTCTTAGGAAAAGGTAGAATAGTCTTTGTTTAGTCTTGACTTAACTTTCAACATTACAATTATTCATATTTTCCTTTATTTTCCTTTATTTTTAGGGAAAGATCGAGTTGCAAGAATGTCGTCCTCATCTCCTTCTAATGTAACAGCAGATATACAAGATGAAACAAATGGTACTTCGACACCCGAAGATGAATCTTCGGATAGAAATTCGCAAGATGTATTAGTTATTCCATTTGGTCCAACAATTGGTGAATCTGTTGGTTTACTTAGCGAACAAAAAGTACGTTTATATATAATAACATAATTAGTTTTTTACAAAGACACAACACCCCTTTTTATTTCTATAATAATAATTAATTTTGTCAAAGGTTCTATGCATGGAACTTCAAAATAATACAGAAAATAGTTCTGTTACATTGAATCTTGCCGATGATATGGTAAATGGTCACAATAGAAGGGATTCAAACAGTGCTGAACGTTTAGAAACGCAAGAAAAGAGAACAAGGTTTTCTTTGGCTCATGATGAAGGTAAAATTACTATAAAATACCTATAAATTTATTAATAAAACATGTATGTAGGATATAGAAGAAAAGAAAAATGTATTTTCTTTGTTGTTTTATTTGTCTTTGCAGTGTTATTTGAAGGTTCTATTGGTAACACATCAGATAATCTAGAAGCTGTTTCAGAAGCTGCCTCCAATCATAGCGTTGCATCTTCGTTAGAATTAGAAACAGAAGATCAGAATGATAATTTGTCGGATATGGTATCAGCCAATGTGTCAGGAAGAGGAACACCAAATATTTCTGGTTTGTACATTTCTCTTCTAATGATTATACACATTCATTTATTTCTATAGGGGTTTAATTATATATAAATAAATATTTGTAGGTCGTGATACACCATCGTCTCAAATCACGGAAGGTGATGATGGTCGTATTGCAGGTGAAGCAAGACAATTGGATTTACCTCCACCAAATATACCTACTAAACAAAGTCGTTCGGAAATAGACGATAAATTTTGTAAATTTGAAATTAAAAAACTTATCGAAGGTATGTCATGGCTTATTATATAATTAATAAATCATTTGTTTTAAAAGCATTAACATTTACATATATTATTTTAGGAGATGAAACAGTTTCTATGGTTTCTGATACGTGGTCCACCGATGTATTGGCGTCAGATAGCGAAATAGTAGAACAGCAAGAAAGAATTATTTATCCTCCTTCTTTGGAACAAATTCCAGCAGCATTACCTTCAGAAAATGCTCAAGCAATGTTGGATATTAGTGAAACTGCATCTGAAGCATGGAGTACAGATGTATTAGCTAGTGATTCAGAAAGACTTACAGAAGTGGATATGGATGATACGGCTAGCGTTGCTAGATCTGATGATACAACTAGATCTGAGATAGAAGTTGAATGTCGCGGCGAAGCGGAAGCTGGTGCAGAATTATTACCATCTGCTGCACCACGTAAGTACACAAGAACACAAGAGTATTGTTTTCTTTCAAAATAATAATATTTATTTTGCATAAATATTTTGCCATCAAGATTATGAATGAATGAATGATCACACTTCTTGTACATTATATTAATTAAAGCTTTAGGAACAGATGATCCTTCTGGAATTGTTTTTCATCCAATACCTGGAATTCAAGAAGACTCTGCTATTCAACTTGTAGCACCGATTCCCGAATCACCTTCATCTTCTAACGTAACTGGTCGTGGTGGAACTAGATCTGATTATAGAAGAAGCACAATGGAATATGTTGATAAAAATGCTAATACCATAAGTAACGCAGATTATGGCAAAACATACCACCACCACAGTTTTGTCCAATTGATAAACAACAAATTGCAAATTGATAATGATCCGAATCTTGTTGTTGATCAATCAGCAAATAATCATATTGGTACTGCTGCAGTTTCTTCTGCATTGTTATTAGCTAATCATATTTCTGCTCCGACGGTATCCAATGAAAAATTGCGCAATGGCGATGTCAAAGGCGAAGTTAGTATCTTTCTTTATTTTTCCAAGAACAAAGTAAATATATTTACATAGTACAGTAATATATATATATATATACATATTACTGTTTCTTAGGAATCAGAAAGTTCATTGACTGCTGTCGACGATGTAGTGGTAAGATTAAGTACAACGAGTTTAACATCTAGCAGTAGTTCCGGATCAGAAACACGAGTAAAAAATAATTCATCGTCGTCGTCGTCGGAATTACCATTATCACCACCAATAATAAACGGTAGTTGCGACGTGACTGATAGCGTTGTTTCCAATTTTCATAAACCAACAGCATCTACAGGAGCTATTCCAAAAAGTATAAGTTTTGATAAAACTGCCGAGCGTGGTGATAAGGAGCTTCTAGACGATGATCAAAAAAATAAACGCGGTTTTTTTGGAAAATTAAAGATGTCGCTTAGAAATCGTCGAGGAAAAGTTATACGAGGAACTGATGATTTGAGATGTTACGATAGAGAAGCTGGTGGAGATGGTGTTGATATAGGAAAGCACCGACTACGTAGAATAATGTCGGAAGATGTAACGTCGGCTGGAAATATCATTGGTATGTTGTTTAATTATATTCATTAACACATTTGCTATGTCATGAAATTGTCATGAAATTGTCATGAAATTGTCATGAAATTGTAGATAGTTCCGATGATATTTTGGCAAAATATAGAAGAAAGCCTAGTACAGCTAGTGACACTGCTTCCGTTGAAAGTAATCAATCGCGTACGAAGGAAGCAGAAGATGAAAGACTTTCAATTGATCCAAATAACGTAGAAATCTCTTTTGCTTTTACCGATGCAAAACGAAAATTACGCATGGTACTTAGTAATGCCGATCTTCAATACATTCCATGGAACTTTGCATCCGAGGTAAATTTGTCATTGTGTTTCATATTGAAAATGATAATAATTAATATAGTTAATTAATTAATTAGGTGACTTTTGAAATGTTAACAGAGAAGCAGTTGGTCGCTAAAGGAAAACGAATTGGTTTCTTTTCTTCAACTTCAATTGGCTGAAGCCATCAACTTGCAGGATAGATCGTTAATAGCACATTTACACGAGACTTTAAGATGTGTTCGATTATTTAATGACGACGGCTGCAGAAAATTATTCAAATCTTTGAGAGAAGATTATCAAAGACGATCACCTTACATCGCATACTTGATTAGATGCCGGCAGGGCTTATTATCAACATTAGCTCATTTAGACAGGTACTACAAATATATAGATATATAGATATATAGATATATAGATATATATTTAGTCGCGCGATAATAAAAAGTAAGGTAATTTCAATTAATGTTAAAAAATTGTTAAATCATTTCTTGAAGGCTACGCGTTCGAGTAAAATGTGATCGCGATGCCGTTAACAATCATCTCGTATCCGTTTTTGTAAGAGTGTTTCTGGAGAAAAGAGAGACATTACTTTTACGCTTTTGCGATGAATTTAAGAAGCTTACATTGACCGACGAAAAGCAAGATTTGGTTGATAATTTCTTGAGTAAAATTCACGTTGAAATGGATAATGATCCAATTTGGCAAGGTATTAATAAAGCAATTAATGATATATTATGATATATATATATATAATATAATATTGTAATCTTTTAATCGTATAATCTTTTCCAATTGTGCATCCTAATTGACAAGTTGTATATAATTTCTTTAGCCGCAAGCGAGTCTCAATTGGAGTTAGCCAGAGTCGTCGTTGAACGAACTGTTATGGCTCGAGTGTATCATAATGCTCTTTATCCAAATGGAGATGGAGATGTATATAGAGATCAGCTTCTTTATGATCACATTAAAAAGCTTGCTAAGGTCATAACGCCTAATCACAAGGATTTACGCATTCCAAAGGTTTATCATTACGAATGTCCTTGGCCATGGGCACAAGCAGAATTGGCTGTTATTTCTGCTTATAAGACACCCAGAGATAAATTGCAATGCGTATTTCGTTGCGCTACAACGATAATGAACCTTTTGTCTATGGCTTCCGAAAGAGGTATACCTGCTGCTGACGATTTAATTCCTGTATTCGTTTATGTCATCATAAAGGTAAGTACTAGTAGGTTAGTTACTAGTAGATTATCCTATCCGTATTAACGCGTTAGCGTATAAGAAACATCAATCGAAGATAAAATCATTCTTTTCAGACTAATCCACCATCTTTATTATCAACTATTCAATATGTAGATAGTTTTTATGGAAATCGATTAGAAGGGGAAGAACAATATTGGTGGACTCAATTTCGTTCGGCGATCGAGTTCATTAAAACTATGGATTAAATATATTTGCAAGAGATTAATTATTTTAATATAGCATAATAACTAATGGGTTGCACAGAGATTAATTAATTTAAAGCTATAGAGCAGAGCGTTGTAACATAATTATTATTCAAATAATTTCATAAATATCGTGATTATTTTACCATGTAAAGTTAAAACAAGACAGTGATCAAAGTTATATATTTCCTCCTCACATTTAATGCTATAAATACTTACCAAATGGCATTGACTTTTGCTTTTCTGATTGAAATTTAATAAGTAGATACAATATCTATTCCAAGTACTTTAATAATTAATGTGTAATAATATGGAACTATACACTTGTTAGCAGCGTTAAATAATAAGAGACACAACAGGCAAAATGCGAAAGCTCGTGTGTAAATAAAAAAAAAAAAAAGAAAAAAAAAGAAAAAAAAAGAAAAAAAAAACAAACAAACAAAAAAGGGTTTGGAGATACAAACATTTCAATATATCCATATATAGAAAATATTTGAGGGAAAATCATTTTATATCTTATAAAACCTTCAAATTTTTATTAGATCGAGATCCAAAAAGAAGAGAAGAAAAAAAAGCAAGTAAATGTATTTTTTGGTTATAAGTACAGTTGAAAGTAATACATCGTTGTAATATCTGCGCATACTCACACTGGTTGCGCAGCAGGATAGCGCAATGGATTTACTCGCTCGCTATCGTTGAGCGCGCGTTGGCTCTCAGTTGCCGTTCGACCGGTCGTCAAGCATTATCGTTTTTTTTTTTTGTCGCGAGTGTGATTACATTTAATAACTGCCTCGATTTTTCTAACTTATCCTTTTTCGGGTGTGATTTTTCATCTCATTTTATCGATAGCTTCTTTCGCAACGAAACCATTAGCAAAAGATTGTTATCGATTTTTTTCTAACGATTTTAAGGATCATTTAAATCGACATATTGCTACGATATTGCTACGATATTGCTACGATATGGGTACACCGGGCAAACAAGTGCGGAATGGTACTTATGAGTTCGATTACATGCGCGTACCCGAAAACAAAACACGATGGGAGATTCTACGTGACGGCATTTACAATTCTGTCGAAGGCACCTATTGTGGTCACCCACCTAAAAAATGGGGTAAGTTTGACACAACGATTTTAATTTTTTATAATATCGAATAAAAAACTTTCCTTAAAACTATGTATTTCGTATAATTTCGATAATCGAAATTATCAAGTTGATCGTATCGATCATATCGATTAATCCTTGTCAAGAAGTTAAAGGAAAGGAATTGAATTGATTGATGGTTTGTGCGTAATATTTGAACGCGACAAATGATTGATGAATTTGTAGGTGTGTTGAAGTTTGAAGATTGAAGATTAAGAAGAAAAATACAAAAATATGATGAGAAAATTCAGTTGAAAATGACGTAATAAGAATGTGCATCGGTTGTTCGTCGACGAAAAGGAATGAATGAATTTTAGATTACTTGAAACAATTGAAACAACAACAATTCTTTCATTCGTATCTAATTCTAATTGACTTCCTTTATTCACGATAATAATATGCAACCGTAACCACATTATATCATAGCTCGTATATCTTTAAATACTTCTTCCTTTTATTCTTCATTTTTCCTCTATTCATAATTGGTCTTTCAAATGTATACAAATAATTATTCTCATTATCAATCGTAACTTAACTTGACACAAAGATCTTTTTACATAAAATTTGTTTTTATTGACAAAACAACATAAATAAGAAAAATAGTATTAGATTTTTCTTAGTAATTATATAAGTTGATAATAGTTGTTGATAATGTAATTGTTAGCAATGTTAGTTTTTCATTCGCGAGTAAGAAAGCTCTGAATGTAAGCATTCATTCCATTGTCTCACGTGACGGTTAAGATAATCAACTATCATTTTATTCGTTTCCGTGTTATCACATTTTGTCATACTATTAACGTCAAAGAAAGATTCAATAAAGACGCATGGATAATAATTTCTCGATGAAAATGCTATATTTTCATTTATGTTTATAATTAAATGATATTTGTATGAAATAGCAAGTGTATCTTCCTTCTTCTTCTTCTTCTTCTTCTTCTTTATTAATAATTTAAATAAATATCTCTTGTTGATAATTTAATGGTAGGCAAGCAGGCAGGCCCGATGGTGTCATATCTATTATCCATATCCATTAACGTAAATTTCATAGTTTACTGTTAAAATGTTTTCAACGCGTGTGATATGCATTCTGACCAATTTATATATTTGTTCGAGTTATCACTTTTCGCGTATCGTTTTCACTCACAATAAACGTAGAGAAAACACACATTCAAATATATATATATACCTATGTTATATACTACGCGTGGGAATATTTCATTAATAATATAAATATAATAATACAATGAAATGACGAGTTAACTTGCAAAATTAATCGTATTACATTCTCACACGAGGATACTCTTTCTTTCCTTGTATTTGTATTCGTATTTATTTCACGGGAATAACCAAAAGGTATAAAATAATATTGGACACCTTATATATCTTTTTATTTTCTTTTTTGTTTTTTTCTTTCCTTCTTCGTATATTTACGTTACGCATTAACACTGAAATATACTTGGAAGTGTTAAGGCCACTGTCCTACTTTCATTCGTTCACTTCTCTATTTTGAATGAAAAGGTATTCGATTCGATTCGATTCGATTATATAAATGTGATAGGAAATATTTGTTCACTTCGAAAGAAATTCGAGGACATAAATGAGAAATTATCAATCATTTGTGATTTGATATTTTTTTCTTTTTTTTTTTTTTTTTTGTTGATAATATTACATTTCTAAAGATTAAGATGATAGAAAACGGAATACTCTCGAGAGTTAACATTTCAAGGAAGAAATTATATTTAGAAAGAGATTTTGGCCAACTGCCTATGCTTAAAAATAATTTACGTATACGATCGAGAGGAAAGGTTGAACGATATGAACGTCAATGATGAACAATCTAAATTCAAATGAATCATTTGAAAATAATAATTACCAAAGGATCTACGTTAAATTTTATTTTGTTGTTATATAAATTGTTATATATATATATAAAATATTCTTCTTTCAGCTTACACAGCAATCTTTTATACTTGTTTCTTCTCGTGTTTGGCCTTGCTCTTTGCAATTTGTATGAAGGGCCTTTTGGCAACACTCAGTACCGAAAAACCTAAATGGATATTGGACAGTAGTATCATTGGGACTAATCCAGGTAATTATAAATATATTTTGTTAGAAAGACAATTAATATAATATAGAAAATAATGCACACCCACCACAGCTATGATCTAACATTATCTACTTTCTTTTGTGCAAACCAAGATTTAAAGATATGGAGGTAGATATTACAAGTAAAATTGACCATTTTGAAATGTATACATGTGTGTAATAAATAAATATGTTCGCGTTAAAAGGTCTTGGATTTCGGCCAATGTCGGAAAATCCAGATGAAAGATCTTTAATCTGGTACACAGCATCGAATGCAACCGAAGTGAAGAAGTGGACCAAACTTTTGGATAAGTTTTTAGCAGGTCTCAGATAATACATTTTTGAAACAAACATTTAGTTGAATGTGAATGTACACGCGTAACATTTGACATATGAATATAAATTTGTACAGAATACATAGATCCGAATATTTTACCAAACGGTGGAAGGAATCAACAGATTTGCAGTTATACCCAACCACCAAAACCTGGAAGTGTTTGTGCTGTTAATGTCAATAATTGGGGACCTTGTTCGCCGAGCCAGAAATATAGTTTCAACAAATCAGCACCTTGTATTTTTATTAAATTAAATAGAGTAAGAACAAATGAACAAATACAACTACAACTACAAATACAAATGTCAAATCTATACAATAATTATATTATTAGTTTGTTTCTTTTTCAGATATATGGATGGGTACCGGAATATTATAACGACACCAAAGATTTACCATCGGACATGCCGATTAATCTAGTCAATCATATTAAAAAAACCAACAGTTCTTGGGTTAGTTAGTCGGTCAGTTAAATTAAATCAAAATCGGTATATTAAGTATTAATATTTATGGTAAACATAAACATAAAACCACCACCCCCTATTCCGGATGTTTTTAAACTCGAAAGCACGTACTAATTATAAATGTCTAAACGATTGATTGAACCTTTTTGACAAAGTCTCTTACAAAAAAAAAAAAAAAACAAACCCAATTTAGGGGTATTTATTAAATATATATATTATAATTTATCGTTAAGAAATATATCAGTTTTTTTTTTTTATCATTGATGATTATTTTTTAAAGGAAATCCTCAAATTTATCTCAAGCCAAATTTATCAATGCTTTTTCTAATCGGAACTAGTTTACTCGTTGTGTAAGCTGATAAGATCGTATCGTTTTATTGGACTTGCGTACGCGTGAACTCGTAAGCTGCATGTGATAACGAGAAGATTAATAATTCAATGTTCCTACGGTCAGGAAAAGACTCAAGAGGAGATAACTTTATAATCTTTATATCTCTCTATATATTTACATATTTATGATATATAATACTACTCCGGTTATTAGTTATTTATTAGTAACTTAATAAATGTTGCTAATCGATTATCATTATAGTATATATCAGTATATCGTATATAATTGTATATAATATATATCATTTTTCTATTATAGTTAAACACCGTGTGGGTATCGTGCAAAGGGGAAGATCCATACGATACTGAAACTATCGGTGAATTAGAATACTATCCACAGAATCATGGATTTCCAGGATTTTATTATCCATACGAGAATATTCAAGGATATTTAAGTCCTCTCGTGGCCGTACATTTTCTTCGACCAGCTAGTAAGTTCTTCTACTAATATTACTATCAGTGATAAGATATATATGTATTTATGTGGGTTTTCAGGAAACACTATAATCAACGTTGAGTGTAGAGCATGGGCGAAGAATATTGAATATAGTACGAGAAAATCGGAGAAAAAAGGCGCAGTACATTTTGAACTTTTGATAGACTAGTCACATATGTTTTTTCGTTCGATTTAATGCTAACTTGAACAAACCAGAGAAACGTTTCTCGTTTAAATGTTTAACGAACTTTTTAGAGTTATCTTTGGTATATTAAACATAAATAGATAATACACCTGATAATGAGCATGGACGAATTACGAAATAGAAATTATTTAATCAAAACATTTCTTTATATTATATCAATAGTTTATCGATTTTTCCATTGGATAAAGTCATTAGCCAATGATCAATTGTATCTTATAAGTTTTACCGTGATATCATCATATTTATTATGTTATTGTATAATGTATATGACAGATGTCAACTTTTTTAATCTATCATCTATTCCATGTGTTCTACAATAGCGAGAAAAGTAGACGTGCCAACGAACTTATCGCTCCGATAGAAATAATATTCTATTAACTTATTACCAAAATAAGAGAATAGAATTGAATTATGCGTTATCTATGGTTGTCAAAGAAAAATCACACACGCGGTCTTATTTTATATAAGCATTTTCTGACATCTTCCAATTATCTCATAGATGATAATCGCATTATGATTATATACTATACATTTAGGTTTGTTTTGTTTTTTATTTTTTATTAATAATAATTGAAAAATAACTTATACGGACAATAATATTAATTTTTAACAAAAGATTAACAACCAGTTAAGCGTGGCGATCTCTGCGCAGAGCGCGCTCTGGTGTGTGTCGCGATAATCAAGCGATGACGGATATAGTCGTCGTCAAACACAGTCGACGGATAAGTGGCGCTGTTGAAACATTGGATAGTCAAAAAGATGACTTTATTTTCAAAAATGAACAATTTTCTTAGTAATGTACACACAGTCTCTTAATATGAACATATATTTATACATAATAAACGGAAAACTTAGAGAAAAAACAATCGACTATTTATAGAATTTAAAAATGTAAACTGTTGCTATCGTGTGATATTCACAAAAACAAGGAACAACGCATAGTTGCACTTTGCATGTTGGACACCGGACACCAATACCGCGATTCTTTTCTAATCTTTTTTTTTCCATTACAAACAGCGCATCTTCGCGAAGGATAATCAAAGATCTAGTGTTACTGCACTGTTTACGAATTAGCTCTCAGGAAGTTATGAAACCAACTGAAATTATTTATAATTTTTATTTGCTTGTTTCATTTCGTCTTGACATTTCTTTAAACATTTTTAAACATATTAAAATTTACGAATATAATGTAGTTTTCGCTATCAAAATTATATCTCCATGACGGATATAGTCGTAAAACACGCTTAACTGGTTAAAGTAATTTAATTACATAAGTATTAACTTTGCATTAACTTACCTCTATACATATAATTGAATGATCAGCATTATCTTCATGAAGAGGTATTAATGATTTATGTTTTGTTTCTTTTTCTTTTTTTTTATGAAAACTTTAATGATACTATGCAAAGTTCTTCATTCTCGGCTTAAACTTAATGCCTGTGTTTGCGTGATTTCTTTTTTTTTTTTTTCTTTATATTTAGAGAAATATTTCATATATTGCATTTTACAGCTGTTGATAGAAATCGTTAAATATTACATTTATTATTTTCTTTTTTAATCGAGTAGTAACGAAAAGATAATTGATTTTTTTTTTTTATATAAAATATTGTTTTTCATAATTTTAACTATAATTAAATAAAATTCTTTATTCGATAAATTATACATTTGTGTAATATTAATAACAAAAAATGATACTTGTTAAAGATAAGATTTCATTGTGACAACTAATTATACATGTATGTATAAAATGTCGTCTTATATGGGTGTAGGAATTTTTCTTGTAATCTTATGTACTTATAATACATTTTGTTAGAACTGTTTATGTCAATATGTATTTTAATTAGTATTTATGTTACCTAATAACGTTATATATAGTAAATAGTTTGTACGTATTATAAATACTTTATAATGATGCATATAGAATAAAGGAATACACGTACTTACAAAAATGCAAAAGGTATCAAAAAGGAAATTAGAGAAGACCTAAAGAAGAAAAAAGAAAAAAAAAATTATAAGATAAAAATAAACACTATACAAGTAGTGGGCCATGTGTAATAAAATTAAATATAATATTTAATAAATTAACGGATCTATATATATATATATATAAATGATTTTTAAAACAATATTTATTAAGGAATACAATGAATTAATTCGAACACAGAATTTATTGAATTTTTTGGCAAGTAAACATCACTCTTATTATACATTTCAATTCTATTTCATAAAATTGTGTAAAAGTATGATGATCGCTGATAAATTTATATAAATTTATGCTTAAGAGAATAATCATAATGAGATTCGACATTTTTTTTCGAAGGCACTTGAAAATACATTTCTTTGCAGATCAAGATTCTTATAATTAACATTTATTTATACATTCTTAATATATATACAAAAGATATTTCTGATCTGACAGTACAACCAGAAAAAGATAATGTTTCCGTAGGATACTTCTTCATTTTGTAATAAATCGATATTAAAGATTTGTAAGAAATGTCATTCTAAATTTAATTATCTTTATTCTTTGTTATCACATAGATTCACCCATTTTCCGGCTGCATGCTTGGATCAGAAACACCTTGCATATATACATGCATATGGTCATTTCACAAAAACGAATTTTTGTTTTATAAAATAACATATATGCACATTACGGTCAATGTGTATTACCCAGGCAATATGGGTATGTTGAAATGATGGTAATTTAATGTTATTTTGTCAGGGTTGTATCCTAGTAGATGTATGGCAAGGAGGTAAGGAAGAAGAGGTTGACATTCATTTCCTTTTTCAGAACATACAAACTATAACAACTATTATTTTCTTTTGTTCTGAAGATTAAGTTGTCATAGTCAGACAGTTGTGCTCTAAACACAGCCAACTGAAATACATTTTATAGAAAAAATGTGCTCAAAATATACATTGACCGTAACATATATGTATATATATCCAGAAAAGAACATTGTTTCGGCAGTTGGTCCTATTTGCTAGGGTTGTTTTTTTTTTATTATGAAGCATATCCTATATTTATTATCAAAGTATTTATTTAAATGATCTTAATAATAGTGAGTGATGATCTAAATTTGATTATAAGTGTGAAATTGTACTTGAGCAATAATCATAACTAAATAAAGTGAGTCATATATGTATAAGTATATATATATATATATAAACAATAATCGTCTCTATAGAAAATGTCAATAATGAAATCCTAGCGAAGTTTTTTTTTCTTTTTTTATTTAATATTGTATGATATTAAATTGAAAAATCTGTTGATAAATCAAGAAAGAAGAAAACACAATAATGCTATCTAAGTAAAAATCGCCTCGCAGATTTTGCAAGTGCAATAAATCTTTTTTGAAAAAGTACAAGTTTTTTTACTAAAGAAACTTTGCGTGCATATAGAAAATAAAACATATCAACATTATCTATAAGAATGAGATAAAACAATCGATTTAAACTAATAAGAGTACAGTTTGTCATTTTTGTGTTGTCGTTTCGCCCTTTTTTTTTGTTGTTGTTGTTGTTTCATTTTTGTTTTTTCTTGTAATTATTTTGTCATTAACATTTAATTACATTTAGTACTTAAACTTATTTATATAATTAAATGCAGATCTTTTTTTTTAGAAAATTGACAGTAATATTGTACAAGAAATCTGAGCATTTTAGAAATGATCATTTAAGTTGACCGAAATATAAATATAAATATATAGCGATTTCTTATATTAAAATGACTTTTTTTTTTTTTTTTATAAGAACTTAATTAAAATTTATAATTATATACAACAATTTGTTATTTAAATTAAATCAACAATTCCTTCGGCTGTTGTATAAACAAAACGTCGTGTACACAACATTTTTAACATAAATTATATAATTTCTTTCTATTCTAATCTCTTCATACATCTTATTATTTTCTATAGAAATATAGCGATTATGATAACTAATGATATAAAACTATATCAATTGACTATCGTCAATTATAGTTTCTTATTGTATAATTTTAGACAACCATCAGATATCATTCATTTGTCGAATATGAGAAATATACGTTTGTTCGTTATTGAAAAAATCAATCAGAATTAAATTACGACGATTATTTCCATAAAATAGTATTTCTGCCCTACTCTAAGCATTTCTTTTTGTATACGGTTCGTCAAGCAAAAAATTTGTAAAAAAAAAAAAAAAAAAAAAAGACAAAAGACGTAAAAAGTTATTGACAATGAAATGCATATTGTTAGGTTCTAACCGGAACTTAACAAATGTTTTAGCAAAAATTGATAGCGCAAATTTAAAAGACGTCAAAAAAAGATCTGCATTTGAAATCATTAATCTATCATCAATTCAAAGTGAACAGCACCTAATTTATCATTGCGGCTATGTTTTATATTTTTGGCCCATGCCTTGCATTCCACGTTAATTAAAATACCAGCTAAAAAGAACAAAAAAACGTACAATTATAAAATGTTTATTTTCAATAATTATTATAATATTCTATACTCCTTGTACTTACTACGTGGTCTTACAAAATGGACAGCAACCAAAGGGCTCAGATATCCTTCCGAATTTTCAAATGGATAAAAGTAACCAGGGAAACCTCGCCGTGGTAAATAATTAATTGGTCCTATATTCTCTTGATCAGCTGGATTTTCACCCTCGCAAGAGACCCAAATTGTATTGAGTAATAAAGAATTCTTTTCCTTTAAACTTGCGATATGTTCTTTCAAATCAAGAGGCATTTTTTCTGGCAAAGATTCCGTGTCGTTGTAAAAGTCCGGTCTCCAGCCATAAATCTTTGGAAACAAGAAAGCTCGTTTAAAAAATTGTTTTAGTAAAGTAGATCGTTAAATATTTATATATAATTTTTTTTTTTTATTTTTTTTCTTGAGAGAGAGAGAGAGAGAGAGAAATTACCTTGTTCAGTTTAAGAAAAATACATGGCGCTGATTTATGATAATTATATTTATTTTCCTTCGTGCAAGGATGCCAATTTTTTACGTCCACTTCGCAAACTTTTCCAGGTGGTGGTGGTTGATTGTAATCACATTTGTTAATATTAGCACCAAGACCAGGAATGGATCCAGGTGTTATGTAGTCTATAAGTATATACAATATATAATATAAGCTCTTTTTAAATCTACCTTTATATTTAACTAAATTTACAAAAGAAAAAAAAAAGGTAAATAATGACCCTTTAAAAAGTCCTGGAGAGAATCGACCCAATGTTTAAAATTTTCACTGTCTGTTCCTCTGTACCAAATTAACGTGCTCTCTACATTTTCCGTTGGCGGCATTGGTCTAAAACCCAATCCTGAAAATTGCAAAATATTCTTCAAATTATACTGCATAAAATATGACAAATTTGAAAGTCATTATTTATTCATTATTTATTTGTCAATTCGACAAATTCTACCTGGATTAGTTCCAATTATAGAACGTTCTAATTGCCATCGAGGTATCCTTGGGTCAAGAGTTTGAAAAAATCCCCAAAAACAAATAGCGACTAATGCTGCCAAAATTCCATAGAATAACAAGTAGAATAGACCTATTTTTCCTGCAACAAAACATATATATGAAAGATGATTGACAAGTATATATATATACATATATATACATCCAAAATGTCATAGATAAATGTCAAGATAATTGTATTAATCGGAGTTCCAATTTAGCGGAAGATCATAGTGTCTTGGTCTTGGTCAAGTGGAACAATTCAATTAAGTGTCTGTCAATTGAATGTCTTCTTGCAAGGTCATCTTTCCTATAGCTTTGACATCATTTCTTTATACAACGATTGTGACAATGTTTCATTTCGATAATCTTGGATTTCATGTAATGACACACAATTTGTATGTATTTAACATAATATGAATATATATCAATCGTGCGTATATTTAAGATAGCTTGATTCTTGGATATCGATAACAGCACATGCTACTTTTGTCAAGGTCTTGCGGTGTTTGATGTGTGAAATACATATTATATGTTATCGAACTTTTATCGATAAATTTATTCTAAAGTCATTCATTTTACGTCAATTTTATTTCATATTTTATTTATTGCGTAAATGTTTTTAATTCAAGCTTATAATTGTAATTGTAAGATTAATAAATGAAATAATACGAATAATACGAGGATCTTGTCTCGATTTATATAAAAACTCAGAGACACGAACGTTTACATTACAATTGTCGACCTTTGTCGAGATACGATGGTCACGCGAGCTATCATCTTTCGGGGACATGTGTGATAAGGTCAGATTAAATCTTTCAGCGTAGATTTTTTTTCTTTTTTTCTTTTTGTTGAAAAAGAAAAAAAGTACGACCAACTTTTGAATTATGCTCCTAAGTTTGAAAATGTTCATGAAATAATAAATCATAGAAAAATTCAGCAACTTGTTGTAGGATTAAACAATTTGGCGAGTCTGAGTTTGTGTTGATTTGAAAAAATATTCCCAGACAAAGAACGAACAAAAGCTATGGTTATAGTCGCGTGGGTGTACCCTTCAGAATGGTCCTAAGTTACGTAATGCTATAATGCTTCCATTTAACGCCAATTGACCTCGTTGTACACGTTTACGCTGAAGGAAGTTTAACAATTACCATACAGCCGAGCTAAGCATTGTGTCCAACGCGAAATCACAGCGAAATGAATGCGTTTTGGTCTTTTTCTTTTTTATTTTATAAAACCGACGACTATTTATTCTCAATCAAATCCTAAAGTAATCCGATAATACATTTATCTTACAAAAAAACTCACTAAATCACTAAAACAGTATATTATCCAGTAATATATAAAAAATAAAAAAAAATATAAAAGAGATTTTTTGCATGCTGTCGAGTTTTTCAAAGTTCAACCAATGCTACCTACCATCTAGCTTTTCTCAATCCAGTTAGTAAAAATTACTTCAAAGGCAATAAACGGAGTAGGTATTTACTAGGACCTAATGAATACTTTCTCAAAAATTCATTATCATTAGTTTGATATAAGGTGGTAATCACAGGGGCTAACAAATAAATATCAAATACGAGAGGAACGCACTTAGGTACCAAGTGTAACAGAGTGTCGAGGTCAATTGCTTACCAAGGATAAATCGTGAGGTTAATTTTGAAGCTCGGTGTAATTTGCATAAAACTGCAATAATCAAACAGCGCGACGGGCTTCTGAGCTAATTATGCGGGAGGGCACAATCGGTTACCCTATCAGTTTTTATTGTGGGTCTTCCTGTACAATTGAAACAAAGAAAAAATAGAAAAAGATAAATTGTTCATTATCTTGCTTGAAGTTTCTTTCTTTGCTTGAAATCTTTCGAAATCAACGAAAACAAGAGGAATCTTGTCTCTTCCCATCCTTCAACACTCTTTGTAAACGATCTACTCCTGTACAACATCGTTAGAGTCGTTGATGAACCGGAAGAGAACGGAAACTGTACATTTGGAGAATTAAAGAGATGAGAGAAGGTATTTCGTGATATACCCTTGCCAAGTTTATTACTCTGAAAGTGATGATCTCACGATTGTGATTGTATAAATGCATTGTCCTTTTAAACGTTCTAATGAATGGAAGAATGAATGAATGAATGAATGAATGATTAAATAATACTTAATACCTATATCAATTTATTGTTAATCAATATACGGATATAGAAAATTATATAGAAAATATACGATTTGTGTTTCCATTTCTAATGTATATCTAAACCATATCTAAACGTAAAATTACAAAAATCGAATATATATATAAGGGGTGCTTTCCTAGGTTGCTTGTTTCTTTCGTTCGATCGATTAGAAAAAGACAAAAACAAACATACCACACCCCTGTTTCTTAATCATCCTCCTCCCTTTGAGCGACGTAACACCCTAAATAACCATGAATTATTTAGTGTCAGAGCTTTATTTTTATTCTATACTTAGTATAGAAGATTTTCATATGATTAAATATATAACATAATCAATTTTTCCTAATAATTACGGACCAAATTATCCTAACTATCTTAAGCATTCTATAATGAAAATCTCTTTTGAAAGTTTTAATGGTATTTTAACGATACTTATAAAGATATCTGTTCTTTCAAGTTTTCTTTAATGGTCATTCTAAGAAAATGCATCGTAGAAACAATTTCTCAATAGGATTAGTGACTGAAGTACTAAATTTTATTAAAGATATAACTACATATATATTACATCGAAATTACGGTATTATGTGTAAAAAAAAAAAAAAAAAGAAGAAGAAAAAAAGAAAGGTTATTGGCATAAAATATCCTAGTTCATAATATACTTCCTGTTTCAAAAGCAAGAACACGGTGATGATTCACACGGCAAGCTTCTATATTAATGTAGGACGTAGAAAAAGACATCAATGCCCCGCGAATGTACACCGCCATGATACACGGTGCATACTAATAATCAAATACATTAAAAAGTCATTACATTATCATTATTTGCTATTCCAAATGATTTCCCTCTCTCGAGAGAGAGAGAGAGAGAGAAAGATAAATCAATGAAAATGTATTTACACATAAAGTTTTGATAAAATATGCATAGGAATATCTTGATGAACTAAGCAAACTAAAATCGAAGGCCAAGTAACGCGAGCGGGAAACGGTCAGTGTTTCACATTGACCGACGCGTTACCTGATATTCCCATACCAACTCTATAAGTATCTACCTAAACACAACACACCTAATACAATACTATATTTTATTCAATCAAATACACTTGACATTTTCTAAGAATCTATAAAAAAAGGATCATTTTTAAAAGAAGAAGAAGAAGAAAACATATATGCGTATATATATATATATATGTATATATTTAAATAGAGTTATAAGTAATATTCGTTATTCGTTTAAAAAAAAAAAAAAAAAAAAAAAACCAAAATAATATCCGATTAGATTTAATATATAAAAGTATATATTTATTTGATATTTACCCCAACTACTGATGGTCCTACCCATATAAGCATTAGTCTCACGATTGTAAAAAAAAGTTTTCAGCGATTGACCAGTAGACATAGCCGGTGGTTTCTCGTAGGGGTTCATCAGCTCCGTTGTAGCCACTTTTGAATCTTTTGCAACCATCTCGTATTTTAATGTTTACACCTGGGATCCACTTGTTTTCCAATTCTTAGATCTTGATTCGAAATTGAAGAATAATACGATCTTGCTTACTTTCTCTCTCCCTCTGTTTCTATTAGCCGTGTATACGCGACGTTAAAATAAAATAATAGAAGATAAAATTGACAGGACAACCGAGAAAAAAGTTGAAAAACAATAATAACGCGAAAGAAAACAATAAGGATTAAAAAGTTTCTCGAGGATGATGATAGAGAATATCTCTCTATAATATTTCCAACGGTTGTCCCGTTCGGCGTCAGTAGATTGACTAACACGTTTCTACGTAACTACCTCTTCTGCCTATCCTGCTTGACTACTTCTCTTTTTCTCTCTCTCTACTTCTCTTTTATAATCTTCTTTCTCTTTTCCTTCTTCCTTCTTTCTCTAACTCATTTGCCCTCCCCCCCCCCTCCTTCTACTTTGTAACCATTCTACAGTAGTATATGTGCATGTGTAATAATATACACATGTATAAGTTGTGTGCTCGGCTACCACTTGCTTCATCGTTTTGCGTGACGTGTCACGTTCGTGCACGCACACGGGCGTTGCCACGATCACGTCTTGTATTCACCAAACACTTAATACCTTCCATGTTCTCCTCTTTGTTAAATCTATGTACCTACAGCTACACGTATGGGCTACGTATATATTAATATACTATGAACTTTCCCTCTATCCTTTGAACTTCATTTTCAACTTAAATTTGAATTTTCTAGTCAAATTCCTTTCCTTCCTTCCTTCCTTACTTATAAATTATCTTCCATTCTAAAATAGCAGAAAAAAATATCTTAGCCAATGAAAGTTTGAAATCAAGAAAAAATTGAAAGAAACTTTGTCTATGTCTATTTGTATGATTTTGATTAATATTAAGAAGAAGAAGAAGAAGAAGAAGAAAAAGGACAAAAAGTAGGTAAAAAGAAAATAAGGAATAGTAGCATTGATTGGATACATACAGGATATTAATTTAACAGCTTTTCTTTATCATCTTTAATCATCCTTAGACAAATATAGATCAAATTATGATCATGCTTGATTCATTGATCTTTCAAAAAAATATTCTCTTTATAAATCTAATAGCCAGAAAATTAGTTACTACTACTACTCTGGTGGTATCGTTTATACCAGACGCAACCACCTGTCGCAGCCATCACACTCTAACACCCACGCTTGCGCATTGTCTACTCTAAAAATTACAATTTCAAATAAATTATATTATTAATATTTATAATTATATAATTATACTTCAATAAATATATACAAGTGACTTGTTAAATATATTTCATTATTCATATATAAACTGTTAAAATAATATTAATATATATTTTGATCTTATTGCATATTAATAAATTCCATGAATAACTTCATTCTATTGATGTAGGTGCCTAGAAAAATATTAATAGAATTGTTATTTAATAAGATTACGCGCTAATAAAGGAAAACATTAATTTATATTTTAGAATCGGATAACAACCTGTTGTACCAAAGATGTAGATATATTATTTATCGCAGCAATGTAGCTTGAATTTGTTTCTTCTTTCTTTAATGTTTTCAAATAATCTTTTCTTGCATTTAAAACTTCTTCTATTTGTTTCTTATGCCTTATGGCAAGTTCAAGTGCCCTGAAATATAAAATAAAATAACTACATGTTATTAATTAAAATGCACGTTGTAGTACCTGTTCCAATTATAAACTTTGATGTTTAATGTAATGGCTTCTTCAATTAATCCATTTTGTAAAAGTATACCTTCCGCTGCTAACAAATCACCAGATAATAATGTCATTTCTGCATATCTTTCTGTCATTTTGGGCAAATTCTAAAATATACAAACTTTAATTAATATTACTTACAATTAATTTGATTTGATTGTACAATAATATTACTGCTATTTATAATAATCACTTTAATATATCGAACATAATGAACTTTATCGTATCTTCTAATGGCTGCATATGCTTCTTCTGCAACGTTCAACTCTTTATTATCTGTTGCCATAATAGCCATGCATGTCCACAATATCTCATTCTAAGAAAAATACAAACTTTCTTAGATAACATCATAAAAGTAACAGTCATAAACAGAACTGAAAGAATCAACATAAAAGGTATAATGTACTTGAGCAATCCGACAAAGCGAAAGAGATTCTTTCCATTTTTTATGTAATATGAGCTGATGCAAGCTTGTAAAAAAAGTGTAAAACTGGGATGAAACTAAAGCACCATCTCCGCGTCTTATATTGACCATACCATTGTAAGCGCTGATAATAGTTGGTTGTTTTCCAAATTCACTACACAGTTAATAGAAATTTATAAGTTTAAGTATTTCACATTGATCAATGAAATGTATTTTAAACCTAAGTTTATATATTAAACCTGCTCTCTTTATCGATTCTAGTTCGTCGTATAATCTTACGATCGCTATAATGTACACAATTAGGACATAACCATACGGATAAAGTGGCATCCAACATAGCTGCTAATACATTTGCGTCAATAGCCCACGTCATATTTTGTGCCATACCAGCTAAAAACATGAAAAACATACATTGAAATTGACCTACCTTTTCATTTGTCTTAAATAATATCAATGTATAGTTTAAGAATTTCTATAAATACCTATTTTACAAGCTCGTCTGTAACCAGTTGCTCTTATAGAAATTAAATATAAATCTTTAGTTATATCAATGAGGGCTAATTGTCGATCGCTAGAACTTCCAATATGATTTAATGCCAATTGAGTAATATTCTGAGGATGAGTATGCGACTGACTTTCAACAATTGGCTTGTTATATGATATTTCTAAAACGTGTAGTACTAAAAAATTAATTTTTTTTTTTTATTATAGATAAAGAGATATGAACACGAACATATATGTAGAAATTATTAATTTTAAATATTGACATATTTTTTATTTACATTTCTCATTCTTCTGATCTCTGATAACAAGAGTATCGACACACAGGGATATGCAGGGTGGATAAAGAGGTTCCTGCGTCATACCCTTCCATTTAGGTACACCTAATAAGCGTCCTTGATAATTGTACAACGTTATAGAATTCCATTCCATTAATAAAAAGTGTCTAAAAAAAGTGTCTTAAATATTTGTATCGTGTCATTATTTTAATAATAATTTAGTATACAATATTTCATTTCTACTTACTTGTTTGCAAGAACAACTGCCGACACAGAACTACTTTTCAAATCAAATATTGCAGGAGTATTCCAATTTGTGACAGAGTAAATGTGACATTGAACCGGTGTGATTACAATTAAATGATCAAAACCAAATGCCAATTGAACTACACGATCTGATATTTCTATCATTTCGTGAATTTCATTACCGACTTCTCGAATTTCTAATACTTCCTTTTTAATTAAAGTAGCTTCATAATTATTCCATTCGAGTCTTCTGTAATATTATGTAATATATTCATCAATTAAAAATATCACTATAACCAAAATGTGGATATAATAAAATAATTGTAGATAAAGAACTTACTTGCCTATAATATGGCCAGTTAAAATATTGCTTCCACAAGTCATAGCCACCTGAGTGCCATCGCTAGACCATGCTATACTGTATACACTCCCAGCATTTATTCTTTCTAAGGAATGAGACCACTGCATAAACAGAATCAACAAGAGAATATAATACGACGAATATATTTTATTTATTTATTTATTTATTTATTTATTTATTAATTCATACGAAAAATACAATTTTCTCTACTTACTCCTGTTTTATCACAAAGTTTAATCATATTATAAGATCCAATAGCAAAATAATCGCCTGAACTGCACCAATTAACTGCTGTAATGGGATAATCACTGGGACTACTACTATAAATTTGATTACCATTAGAATCCCAAACTTTATATCGACAATCTTCTCCACCAGAAATAATGAATCCATGACTATGATTCCAACAAACAGTCAAGACAAGACCTTCATGAGCATACCACTGATAATACAATAAGCAAATGTTATTTTTAGAGAAGAAAATATGATAAATTCAATTATTATTAAATATATATATAAATAGGGGTAAATATAAAAAAGATGTGTAACCTTATAGGGTTTTGAATTTGAATTGAGTGATTGGAAAAATAAATGTCCTCCTTGCGAATACAATATTTTAGAACAATCCGGACTCCAGTCCGATGTTAAAATAGATGAATTACCTCTGATTATTACAGAACGAAGCATACCACTGCGTGACCAAACTTTTATTAAGCCATCCTCTCCGGCTGAAATTATCATTTTATATGAATATATATGTATGTATGTATATGTATTTATATTGTTCATAATAGCTTTTATTTTAGCGTATAAGTTGTCTTATTACCTGTAAGTAATACGGAACCATCCGTACTCCATTTGCCAATAGTTGCAGCTCCCTTATGAGCTTCAATACTTTTTTCAATACGACCATTTTTACTAACTAAATGAAATCTTCCTGCGATAATAAAATATGTATATATATATATATATATTAACATCGTATAATATTAATTGTAATGTTTTAAAAATTGAAATACGTACCATCAGCTGTAGTAATTAAAAGTACATCTAATGATTGCTTTTTACTGGCTGTTACCAAATGATTAGGACGTGGATGCCATTGCATTGAAGTAGGAAAAAAGTCTGATGGAAACTCTGTAATAACTGTTGAATGTGCATTTCCACTTTCTAAATACCAACATATTAATAAATGATCCTCTCCGCAAGAAAATATTTCCTCTGCTGAACTCCAAGCTACACATGTTACTAAATTTTTGTGACCACTACTACTTTGCACAGATATTTTAAATCTCATTGTACATGTGTCAATATGTCCCAATAATAATACTCAATTTATAATATAATAATAATTCATATTATTCTAAGCATACGATGTTTGATATGAAATATAATAAATATAAAGAAAATGTACAAGTTTTGTGATAATAAATGTAAAGTCAAGTAAATGTGATTTATTTTCCTTCTTGTTACCATAGTGATGATAATAATAATTATAAATCGCAATAAATACTTATCGTATAATATATATATTTGTATGCGAACGTATACACACAATACGTATTAGAAGAATTTCTAATATTTCAATATTTTTTCAATCCTTTCAAATTGATCGAAATAATCGTAATTATTTCAAATTTAAGTAAACATTCTAAACAATATTGCTTTTTCTTATTCTTTCTAATTTATCCAATAATCTGCCTTTAATAGCTAATCAATAAATTTTTTTAAAATACATATACAAGAGATTTGAAATCAATGAAATTTAATCGATTTTTCCTAAATCCAAAACCTTTCTATACATATGTATATATATTATATATATATATATATATATATATATATATANTATCTTTAACGACATTTCTATCGAACCAGCGAAAATACAAAAGCGATAGTAAGGTCGCGCAAACGCAGTTGAAGAAAACAAATGAAAATATATTTTATATATATATATATATATATATATATATAATATGTATATATATATATATATATCTTTAACGACATTTCTATCGAACCAGCGAAAATACAAAAGCGATAGTAAGGTCGCGCAAACGCAGTTGAAGAAAACAAATGAAAATATATTTGATAATTTCAAAGAACAATTTCCATTGTAACTTTTCTAATTAAATTAATATGAAATAAAGTAGAAACAAATTAGGATGTATCTTATATGAAAATTAATGAAAAGAGTTAAACTATAATAAAAAAAAAAAAAGGAGCGAATAATTAAAAGCGTAATACGTAAATATCGTCCGGTCGAATTGTCCGATTTAAAATGCGCAAGTCGTTAGAAGAGCGCGGTGATTGGTCGAAAATAATCTCGATGACAATCGTTTGACAAATATTTCGGAGCGTTCGGGAAACATATTCTCTTACAATACGTACGCGTAATTATCGTGTAAATTAGCCAATAAAATAATAGTAAAAGAGTTAAAAGATAGTACGTTGATATATGAGATACATAGAAATTCGGCATTAGGTTTTGGGAAGGAGAGAGAGTGAGAGAGACAGACTTAAGAAGCAAGTACTGGATGCCTTTTTTAACGCGAGCATGTGAACGGATCTCGAGAGCCGAAACTTTTCAACGCGGAGCATCCTCCTAAGAATATACATAGATAAAAGTTATCTCGAGAAAGAGTACATTCGAGGAAGAGTAATATTATATTGTAGATGGTGGTTGGATATATTAAAGCTGTAGACACGTGGGTCATTCGATATAACGCGAGTGGGCTGCCGTCTCTCTCTCTTGATCGCGGCGTACGTTGTTTTTATCCCGTAAAATATATCGCGGTTTCAGTGATATTTTAAGTGGCGACTTTAGTGGCGATTTCAGTGGCGATTTCAGTGGCGATTTTGATCAGGCCCGTATTTCCTAGGTCCTACCTAAGTCCTATCTAGGGCTTAAATAGGTCCTGTCTAACTCTTTCCTACCTCCTACTTACCTCCTGCCTACTCCCCTTACCCTGCCTTCTCTCTCTCCCTCTTTCTCTCTCTTTCTCTCTCTTTCTCTTACTCTCTTACCGCGAATGTGGACAATCTACGACGATTTATCGTACTGCTGCTGCTATTGCTATTGCTATTGCTATTGCTATTGCTATTGTTGCTGTTATTACCAACTACAACCCTTACTAGAGTTACTATCAACGACGACAGTTACTACCGCTGTTGCTGCTGCTAGTGCTACTACTATTGCTGCTGCTGCTACTGCTGCTGCTGTTTTTTCTCTTCCTCCTATTCCTTATGCTTCTACCGTCGTCGTCGTCGTCGTGATCGTCGTGATCGTCGTGATCGTCACCGTCATCGCGAAGTTTGCAAATTTTAATACATATATCAATTTAAAAGGACTTAAAAACCATTTTTAAGTAAAAGAAATATATTCACGGAGGGAATCAATTGGTGTGTGGTCTTTATCGAAAGGCCCTAAAACAGGGTTTCTCTTACAAAGAGAACACTGATACATCCTGATTGTCACTTGATAGCATCCGAGGCGCCAAACTTGTCCGCATCGGCGCTTTCTCCAGACCAAGTAGTATCAATGTTGTCTGGCAATGGTGTGTAAGGAGAACGTGGTATCATGGTTTGCGAATCTGTCCAGGTAAATTTTACCTTATTATTTGCTCGTGAAGCTATCCAAGCTTCGATTTCTTCTTTCTCTATCTATTTATCTTTTCATTTTTTCATTTTTCCAACTATCTATCTATCTATCTATCTATCTATCTATCTATCTTTCTCTTGCTCTTGCCATTTCTCTCCTCCTCCTCCTCCTCCCCTTACCCCCCCCCTAGCCCCTAACCTTCTCTTTATTCGCTTGCTCTCTCTCCCCCTTCTTCCCTCTCCTTTTTTCTTCCTTCTCCCAACGCGTCCTCCTATGTTGCGTTGACTGACGTTTCACGATTTATACTTTTATATATGTACACATCTTTTTTATTTCTTATGTTAACCCTCTAATTCATTATTTTCATATCATAATTAAAAAGGAACATTTCTCTTCGCATCCATCATTTATCTTGCATTTTATATCATTCAAAATGGGAAAGCTATCATAGTTTTTTTCTATTACTTTTCCCTTTTTCACCACCCCCACCGCCCCTCCTCTCTATTATTCGAATTTTTCTTATTTTTTTTTTTTTTTTAGCTTCTCAAGATCGACAAGATTTTTCTAATGCTTTTATTTGTTCGCTTTTAGATATATTTTGTTTCTTTTTATTTCGAAATTGTTAACGTTAACGTAACGTTACATTTCCTTGGCTTTTAATTTACGAACTGTTATGGAGGAAGAAAGGGAAAAATAGTTTATATATACATGCACGTATAATAAATACGTTTGATAATAATAGATGTTATTCACATTTTTTTAATGAGATAATCGTCCTAGACCAAAATAACGATAATAATAATGATTCATTTCTTGTATATCTCACGATACATCGAATATATCTCATATATTTTCATTATTTTATTAAATAAATACACACATATACACACACAAAGCAGATATATATATATATATAAATATATATAATATTAGAGCGTGATTGCGCGCGCGTGCGCATTCTTTTCGCGCACGTACAAATACATTTGAAAATATATATATTTACTATTTCCTCTTTCATATCATATTTATGATACTTTTTATTTTCATGGCTGCTGCACTTGTGCTTTGAAAACTTGTGATGATAGTTAATGGCAACCTGTTATGCAAGAAAAATGTATTCTTTTTTTTTTCTTTTTTTTTTTGAGTTCTTTTTAAGACTTAATATTCATGCTTTTTAATTATTCTATTCCTTCATAAAAGTAGAAATTTTTCTTTGATTAGGTTAACCAACTAATTTACTTTAATCTTGTAAACAATTATCAAGTTAATATATATTAGATATGTGTATTACTGTACATAATACTTCATAACTTTTGCAATAATAATTATGTTATTTATATATCTCTACAAATTTGTTACACACACGCGCGCACACACACACACGCATACACATATTAGTTTTAGTATTGTCAATAAGATCTTTAAATGCTCTATAGTATGTCAATTGTTGAATTTAACACATATGTTTATGTCTGTGCAGTTATAAACGTATAGATGTCATGTGCACGTTGCTAAATATGTGCTTGCCATTTGAAGTACGATACCTTGGCACATGTGTCGAGGATATTGGAAAGCGAGAATACAATGATCTACGTGATAGTGAGCATCGTGCAAACAACGTCACAGATCTCACGGAACTGACAAGCCTTGATGTCATGGAAAAGCGCGCAAGAAGAAAACTTGCTCTCTATGTGGCACTGTTGCATTCTTGCAATTATGCATGTGCAGTGATCTTATACAAGAACCTGTCCAACTTAGATAATCAAGAGATTTCTAATATTATCAATGGGGCCGCTAATACATCGGATGATCAACCTCTGGAAGAATTACTCTTACTTTATACAATGGCGTTAAATCATCCAGCCTTTACATATGAACAGAAGAGTGTCATTGGTAACATTTTCATGAAACTTCAAGAAGAGGAAACACGGTTTAATCTTTCTAAGCCTGTCACTTCTGGCAAACCTGTACAGGTAATATAGAATAGAATATACAATGCTTATTTTATATAATTGTCTAATAATTTACAATCCGTTTTGTAATTGTACATAATAAACAATTCCTTCCAAGATTTCTATTGCATATTATTGTAAAGATTTATTTACTTACAGAGCTGTACGCCGTGCATTAACACGAATGATAGATTAGTGGATCCTGAAGTGCAAAATAGTTGCTTGATGCCGCCACCACAAATGCAAACTTATCATGGTACGTTAGTTTACAGAAAAATACATTTACAATATTACTAATATCAATAATATCAATAATATCAATATTAATATATTTCTTTGTATTTTATTTACAGGAGACATGTCAATGAGAAATAATCCAATGATGAGCGGAATACCGCCTGGTCTTTCTATGCCTCCACCTGGCTTATGTTTACCTACACCTGAACAAATGTCGATAGGTTCTGGTGGCACGACGCAATATCTTCATCTTGGTTTTCCGTCAGTTAATCATTTACCACCGTGGGCAGGTCAGGTTGTAATGGGAAATCAACTGATGTATCATACCGGTGACATGTTGGCTTATCCACCTTCCCCTTTAGTCAGTCGTCAGTCTTCACCATCCCAATCTCGATCTCCTAGTCGTAGTAATTCTCCAATGAGTAGAAGAAATAATGCAATGCCTCGTACATCTTCGCAAGTCACTCAGTCAACTTCTAATACTTTAACATCGACGAGTACCTGCAATAGTCAGATGAGTATCTCTAGTTCCAATGCCAGTTCCTCCTTCCCTTTATTTTCTTCACTTGGCACCTCCAGAAGTCTTCCAGCACAATCACCGTTACTTCCATCGAGATCTCTTCCTTTACCTATTACTAGCACTACGACTTTCTCTAGACATAACAGCATAGACAACAATCCTTGCACGTTAATCTCAGCAACACAATCAAAGCAACCACCACCACCACCTCCTCCACGATTAAGGTCTTCAACATCTGGAGATACTTTAAGGGAGGCATTAGGCAAAGAAATAGCAAACCTTCCAAAAATAGGAAACCTACAGGATATTTCTCTTGATCAGGTAAGCTCAAGTATTCATTTATATTTACCTAACATTTGACATCATTATATATGTATATAAATATATAAATAAATATAAAAATATGTGTGTTGTAGATGCGAAGAATGAGTGACGAAGATTTAAGAGAAATTGGATTAACTCCTAATGCTGTAGGACAATTGAGGAGTATAATTAAAAGTCAAACTACTAATGGATTGAATCAAATTACTGCGGATAAGAAACTAGATAATACTAATAATTCTGGAAATACGATGGGAGATTCTATGGAAAATGAGGTTAGTAGTAAATTAATGTTTTATAAACTACAATAATATACACAGTACTATATTATATTATATGTTGAGAAAACTTCTAATAAATAAAAATAATCATTTGGATTATAGGGTATGCCAGGGGTTGATATGATCAATGATGGTGGAAATCAAGGTCCCAAATCGATGTTGATGCAGGAACAACAACATCCAGCAATGCATCACCATCACAATCATGCTGCTACTCATAATTTAAGACGTTACCCTGCTATGCCACCATTGGATCCTACGCAGATTCAAATGTATCCTGCCCCAGCTCCAGTTTACACAGCTCAAAATGCACCATGTTATGCCTGCCTCACTGTACCCGTTGCTGGTGTACAAAATCGATATTCAAGGTAATATCTCAGTAAACTATTGTTGAATATTATTCAATTTACATTTCAATTATTAAGAAAAAAAGGTAAACATATATTTTTCATTTTGCATTATTTCAGATGCAACGCTCAACACGTTTATTGTTTAGCTCAGCTGCAAGCTTTAAGATTGGACCATGATAGCAGCCGACATTGCTCGCAGAGCAGTAGTTCTGACAGTTCCGGTAGTAGATCGCCACCTGAAACACCTCCAGCAGCTCCATGGGTTGGAGGAAATGAGAGTAATACGGTACCGGTAACAGATCATCTTGGTTCTGTTCCTATGCATTCTACAGGTGGTACATCTCACCCAACACCTCAACAGCAACAACAACAACAACAACAACAACAACAACAACAGCAGCAACAACAACAACAACAACAACAACAACAACAACAATCGATGCAACCGCCGGAAAGACAACGCAGTAGAAAGAATCAGGCACATATGATGCGTCATAAAAATCAAATGGTGAACGGTGGGGGACCTCCAAGTTTACCTCATTGCGTTTCCTTTCCTACACCACCTCCTCATTCACAAGTCACGTATCTACCCCATGGGCACTTTTCTACATTGAGGCCAAGTAGTGGTATCTACTCTAACTACTCGCATGGTCCTTATGCAAGGCCAGCTTACCCAAGCACATACCAGCCAAATGGCGAAATGATGTATCAGTTTCCTGGACATCCAGCTTCAGGAGGAACGCCGCCACCACCACCCAATGCTGCAGGAACACCTGCTCCGTACATGCCACCTACGCCCGTTGTCACTTACGCACCAGCTGCTGTTCAACCTCCTAAAGTATCCTGCTATAATTGTGGGAGCAGTAATCATATCGCGATAGATTGTAAAGATCAGACTATGGAGGACCTTACGAAGAAAGGTATAGTTGCATTTCTTTTACTTCTATTTCATTGATATTACGAGTAATTTATCATTTTATTATCAATTTGTTATGTTTCAGCTCAATATCGGTTAGATTATACGATAATGAAACAGCCTGGGGATTGTTCGAATTCTGACAAGTGATCCCCTGCCGCGGACCATTATCCTGCTATCTTTCATTGTCATCGTTATCATCATCATCAATTATACCATAGCGAATATCGGAGGCGTTATTATTATCATCATTGCCATTATTACAACGATCCTGCTTTTACGAGGCAGATTAAGGATCGATTAAATGACGACTGCTACAACTCTCCGTGCAAGTTTTCAGTGATTTTTCTAGACATCCTCTGTATCAAAGCCGATGAATTTTTAACTGAGGACATTTCGCGATTCACGGTACCAGGTATACTCTTTACAAGTTCTTATTTATGATAGTGATTATTCTTAAAGAAAAAGAAAACAAAAGAAAAACAAACAAAATAAAAAAAAAAACAAACAAACAAATGTGCGATTGTAAAATATACACAAAGCATGTACAAAAGGAAAGAAAAAGAAAAAAAAAAGAAGTATAATGCAAAAATGCCATATTCTTATCTGTGTTGTTAATAGGATACGTTTTCAGATGTTTTGTGTTAGGTATTGAGTCGAGTATTTCCAACCGTACCTATCAGCTACTTACCCTTAACTTACCTATCTCTCCTCCCTTTTTCTCTCGTGATTAGTAATAAGAGATATACACAATGAAAATCATTCAAAAATAGCGTTGTGCTCTGATTAGATAAAATAATCGTGTTTGACTCTATATTCGTACTTTTACTTCTACTACCCTGAATCTACTATTACTATTACTACTATATCAACACATTAAAATTATTCTTATCATTATTATTATTATTATTATCATTATTATTATTATTATTATTATTATTATTATTGTTGTTGTATTTTTCATTTTAATTATCTGTCTTATCGCTCTATAACGTCAGAATAATTTTATGTAAATATATATTTTCACAATTCTTACGTGTAAATATTACATGAGAAAGTGAAGCGAAAAAGTTGAAAAAGAAGGAGAGAAAGGAAGCGAGAACGAGAGGATAAGTGTGTAAAAGAAACCATAAGTGTTCGATCGTCTAGCTGCTGTTGCGCTCCTGTGTATAAAAGTAGGGACATATATATATATATATTGCTTCACTCTCTACTTGTTTATTAACTTCTAGATAGATAGAAAGATAGATACATAGCTAGGTAGGTAACGGTAACTCTTTCATCCTAATTATATAGTCATATAATCACATGTGCAACTTAAGTAATTTTATACGACTTTTATTGATCGATCATGTTTTGTAAATTAAATGCAGTGTAGTTATACACACACACACACACACACACACACATACAACCACACACGCACACACACAGAGAATACGTGCGCGCAAGCGCATATATATATACACCTAAATAATATATATCTATATATATATTTAGGTTTTCATAGTCAATAAATATTAGAATAAATAAAAATATGCA